GGAATCACAGCTTTGCATCAGGCAGATATAAAACCTAAAAGGACAAAAACAATAGAAAAAGTCGGGCAAGGAATCACAGCTTTACATCAGGCAGATATATTCCCCAATTTGAAATAATTCCCAAAATTTTGTAACAGCAAATTTTAATTGACTATGGCATTGTTCCATATATTAAACAAGGGTAATACAATAATTGAATATATACATACAAAACAATACAACGTTGAGTATGACGAAAGGAATACAAACATGCAGTCAATGAATGAAATGTTCTTGAGCAATGATATATATTTATTTTAAACAGTTACAATATAAAGTGTTAATAACCCTATAATATTTTTAGGATTTGAATACCAAGTAAATGGGAATATGTTTATACTTTCGGAGACTGACACTTAAAAAGATAATGTGAATCAGTATTAATATCAATATGACAGAAGTGGCATATTCTTTCTTCTTTTGGTGTGTTTCTCTATCGTCCCGTTTCTATAGGCATTTTCAAATTACAACACTTTCGTTTTGTTTTATCTCGTTTTCTTTGAAATAATTTAAGAAGATAATTTTCTAAATTAAATCATAATTAAACTTGACCATAAAATTTTCCACTTCATGAATTTTCTATTTGATCATAAAATTGTGGATAAATTGATTTACGAGTATTTGTTTTAAAATGACTTTTGATTAACAATTCCACATATTTTGTTAAAAATAAACCCGAGAATAAAATATGCTACACAGCACAACAAACTATCAGTAAGTTGAAGTTTCTTATTGCCAACATATTTGTTGAATTTGGAGGTACCAAGTGTGTGGCTCTCCTTGTCGACCTTTTCATGATGTTCTCTCTATTACCAATCGATTTTTTTTCTGATTGATTCCCATTAATATATCCTCCTAAACTAGTGATTATAACAACAAAATGATTACACATATACCTCGAATCTGACTCAAGCGGTCATCTTTGTAACAGAGTCTATGACAAACGAGACGATTTCAATTTTGAAATCATAAATTTTCCTCAACTTAGCAGCAATATACCAACTTCATCTGTGTATGAAGTATACATTTCTCAACTTATACGATATTCAAGAGCTTGCAAATGCCATTCAGACTTTGTAAAACGTCATCGGTGTCATTGTTCGTGGTTTTGTCAAAGATCGTCTCGTCTTTTCTCAGAAAAGAAGGTTCCTATACTAAATAGATAAATTGAGTCTTGAGTTATAGATTCTAGATGCTGACGTTGTGTATTATTTCATAAATTTTACAACGTTTCCTTTATTTTTGTTTATAATATTATGTTACTTTTGGTCGTATGACTCTACACGTGACTTGATATATGTGCATCTAAATTTCTGGTATTTGGCGTTAGGCGTTCCTGATACAGGTGGGTCCAGAGGTGCGATTTGGACGCATGACGTTTTTATATTGTTATTTTCATTTTGTGTACCCTTGTTTTTATATTTGACTTAATATGTACTTTATCAGAAAAAGAGTATATGTCATTATGTCTTACTATACTCTAGTGTGTTTTTATATGTTGTGATGTTACACTATTGTTTCAGATAAGGGTGAAGGTTTGGTACCATTAAAACGTTTAAACCCGCTGCAATTGTTTGCACCTGTCCTAAGTCAAGAATCTGATGTTCAGTAGTTGTCGTTTGTTGATGTGGTTCATAAGTGTTTCTCGTTTCTCGTTTTTTATATAGATTAGACCGTTGGTTTTCCCGTTTGAATGGTTTTACACTAGTAATTTTTGGGGCCCTTTATAGCTTGTTGTTCGGTGTGAGCCAAGGCTCCGTGTTGAAGACCGTACTTTGACCTATAATGGTTTACTTTTATAAATTTTGACTTGGATGGAGAGTTGTCTCATTGGCACTCATACCACATCTTCTTATATCTATCTACATGCAACTATAAAAACTTATTTTGTTGGCGTCCATGATAGATTTCTTTTACGTTTGTTCGGATTGTTTACACAATTTTGGCTGCTGGATCCTGATTTTTGTCACGTTAACCAATTATATCTGTTTTGGGTTGCTCTTGCAATTTTTTCAAAAAGGCATAGTTATAAACAACTGTCATATAAGTGGAAGGTTCGGCTAGCTTTAAAACGTAGACAATTTAACTCATTTGCAGATCTTGTCTAAATGATCATTTTTGGCTATTAAGTTTCTCTCTATCTGATTCAGTTGATAAGTGATGACAATAGCTCGCACTTGCCTTCTTTCAATCTCTTCATATATTTATTAATAATAATAATAATAATAATAATAATAATAATAATGACTTTATCTAAAGATGGTGACTCAATTAGCATTCACTAATCTACCTTGAGGCCATAAAAAAAACATGCAGAACAAGTATTACAAATATTTTTTTTTAACATACCATTAAACTTTCACGCTAAATGATTGTCTGTAGAACAAGAAAAACAAAATGATACATTATGCACAAACATTAAAAAGACGTGATAGAGTCAGAGAGTTGTTACATTTCATTTATAGTTAAAAAAATCTACACATTTTCTTTTAAAAGTACCAAGATGTTCACATAGTTTTATTTCATTTGGTAGTTTATCCCAAGTACTGAGGAGCTTTTTTTCATTTGTTATACTTTCCAGGTCCAAAATTAGGTCATTTGTTAACCAGTTTAGACGAGTTCTAAGAATATGAGTTGAATTGGAAATAAAAGCACATACAACGTAAATATGATAATAATCTCAACGGAGAAACCCACTGCGACAAAAAAGATCTAATACGGTTTTCACTGGAAAGAGGTCATAATTGAGTAATATAGCTGAACATTTCATTGAGTTTTCTGGGTCTGAAGGCACGTTTGCTGGGCGATAAGTTTTTTCTTCAACAAAACACTTTTAATATTCTTTAGAGAAAAGATTCTGTTTTATGCGCATATATGTCTAATTCATTTCATAGCCTAATATATGATGGAAAAATGAGTCATCAATTCTCAAAAAGGTACCATAATGTCTCCACTATATCTTATATATAGTAGTACTTTGTTTTGTTCTTGTAATTAATTAACAATGATTGAGAGCTTGACATATTATATAGATACTTTTATATTGTGGTTTTTGTTAAAGGTAGTATGTTGACATCTGCATATTTTTGTGCCGTTTAGTTGCTAATGAGGTACTAGTACATGACTTTTCATCTCCTTTATGTTTATGTTTTAACCACTGATATATCAATCGTACTTAAATGGTATTTTGGAGAGTTTTTAAGCTACCAGTGGAAACATTAGTATTCAGCAAAAACGCCTCATTAACATTTAAGTAGGGGGTGAACTAATTAAAACTAGAAAAACACGATTCCTTCTTGATATTCGTTGGAGATCAAGCAAGTATTTAGAATAAATAGTTAAAAGAAACCTGTAACTTTTAATGAGTGGGTTTGCTGTGTATTTTGATTAACATTCATTTCAATTCTCCATAAAGTGTCAATTCTCTATAGTGTTAATTCTCTATAGTATCAATTCTCTATAGCGTCGATTCTGCATAGAGTGTCGATTCTCCATCAAGTGTCAATTTTCCATAGTGTCAATTCTCTATAGTGTCAATTCTCCATAGTGTCAATTCTTCATAGTGTCAATTCTTCATAGTGTGTCAAATCTCCATAGAGTGTCAATTATCCATAGAGTGTCTATTTCCATAGTGTCAATTCTCCAGTGTCTATTCTCCATATAGTGTCAATTCTCCATAGTGTCAATTCTCCATAGAGTGTCAATTCTCCATAGATTGCCAAATCTCTGTAGTGGCAATTCTCCATAGAGTGACAATTCTCCATAGTTTCAATTCTCCATAGTGTCGATTCTCTATAGTGTCAATTATCCAAAGTGTGGATCTTGTGGTCAATACAAATAAATAATATCAAATCTTTCTGCCATATAAGTGGTGATAGCGATTGATCAGATGTTTCTGTGGACAGAATTATTGATTCATTATCAGCAAGTATCAGTATGTTAAAATATGATCATTTGTATTAATTTGAATAATTCATGATCATTCACTGTCTCTGTTAAAATACATTAAAGATATTTTAAATCGAAAATGAAATAAGTTTTAGTAACTTATTATCGTATAACTCATTTTGCGTTGGTCCTTCGTTCAGTCTATGTGTGATCATGTGTGATAAAATTAGTGCTACCCGTTATCATTACCAAATAGTTTACATACGTAAGTACTCGTTGTAAAAATTGATAGTTCATATAAAACTTTCCAGTCAGGTTATTTTCAAATTTTTAATCATTATCCAATCAGATCAAAGATACAAGATGATTGACAGAAGTGGGCAGTATTTGACAAAACGCGAAAACGAGAAATCACAACAGCGAGAAAAAGCGAAAAACACGAAAACGCGATGTAGAAAACGCGAAAACGAGAAGTGAAACTATTTTTCGTTTTCGCGTTTTCGCCCTATAGAATATGAAAGGCGAATTGGCCTTATCCAGCCACCATAGTAATTCGATAAGATTTTCTAGATCTAATTTATTCTAGAACAAGCTTTGAAAGCCAAACATGTAAATGAAATTACATGATCGAACATGAATAATTTGATTCATGTATTTATCCTTGAAGCCGGTAGTTGACTTTACCTAATTCAATCTGTTATTTTGTAATTATTTCGATTTGAACCACGTGGCTTTTACATTAAAATCTTGTAGATTTATTTTTTTGATGAATCTATATATCAATATCTGAAATAATATTGCTATCGTCATGTGTTTGTTGACCTGGCTCCGATTAAGATACCTTGTCAATTTTTGGAAACACTTGAAAATGGTAACAACTATATATTTTCTGTGTAGTTTTGTCAGTGTAGTTTTAACTGAGGAATTTACCATTACAATATTTGACTACGAAACGGCGAATATGGTTGTAAAAGTTAACAGCACGTTTTTAATTCTAAACACAGAATCTAAAATTCAATGTGCTGAAAAATGTACATCAAACAGTAAGTGTTGGAGTGTAAGTTACAGTTCTAATGGAGAGTGTAGACTTTGTGACAGAGGATGGAATTCGCTTTGTACGATTTGTGAAGAGGAAATCGGTGCAGTATTATACTCTAAGGTAACAATGGTTTGTCTGATTTGTATTTTAAACTAATATTTAAACTGATATTAAAACTGAGATGTCTGTAGGCTTTTCAAATATAAACTATCCGATATCTGCAGGCTTTTAAAATATAAACTATGCCGATATCTGCAGGCTTATCAAGTATAAACTATGCCGATATCTACAGGCTTATCAAATATAAACTATCCGATATCTGCTGGCTTTTAAAATATTAACTATGCCGATATCTGCTGGCTTTTAAAATATAAACTATGCCGATATCTGCTGGCTTTTAAAATATAACATATGCGATATCTGCAGGCTTATCAAATATAAACTATCCGATATATGCTGGCTTTTAAAATATAAACTATGCCGATATCTGCTGGCTTTTAAAATATAAACTATGCGATATCTGCAGGCTTATCAAATATAAACTATCCGATATCTGCTGGCTTTTAAAATATAAACTATGCCGATATCTGCAGGCTTATCAAATATAAACTATGCCGATATCTACAGGCTTTTCTTGTAGCTGATATTGTTTCTTTGTCTTGGAGGTAAGCCGTTAGTAGCAAATACTAGGATGGTGAACGATCCTCATCTTTTCTCCGTAAATGTTAAAGTCAACGAAAATATGACTGGAATCCCATTTTGTTGGGTAAAACCATAGTGAATTCTTCCTGCTTCAATAGACGGTGGGGATATCTATTGCTTCAAATAAAGGTTGTGAAGACAAAGGCAAAATATAGATTTTATCTAATTTCTTTTGATTATGTTAGTAGGTCAACAGTGATATCGAAAACCATTAGTTTTGTATCCTACTACAAAGTAACTAGTTTACTCATTCCCGGTCCTCTTCATTAATACCGTCGTCTTTCCCTCTATTGTGACATTACCTAAAGCGACGACTTATGGCACATTTTTACTTATTTGAGCAACATGACGGTTGTCACAGCACCGGAGTTTATTTCCATTTTTGGAGGGGTTGGTGACGCCCAATTATTAGTTTTCTATGTAATGTTTAAATGTATTATTGTTGTCTGTGCTTTTGTTGCTTTACTATTTTTTTCTATAGTGTTGTCCTTTTTTATCGGACAGATGATTTTCTATTGACCCCTTGGTATGTTCCTTCTTTTTTAAAACTGATAAGACAAACGAATGACAAAGCTCCCTTTCCAAACAACTCTACCTAATTAATACTTATGATTTGCTATTACATATGTCAAGAATGTACTTTTATTTGAATAGGACGATGAAGACACCTGTATAAATGGCGGGAGGTTGGATCAGGACGATGCATGTATATGTCTGGATGGTTATGCTGGTACTTACTGTGAAACGTTAATTTCAGGTGAGTTTACGATAAATTCATCAAATTTTGCAACATCAATTGCATTATGTTTGAAATGAATTACTAGTACAATGCATCAGAATCTGCAAAGTTAAAAATGGATCGGTTAAAAAAATGGGATTTTTAGATTTGCCAAGATGGGTCTTTACGGCACAACCGCATCACATAAGAGGTCCTATTGGTTCCATATGGATTCTACTTTACTAACTGGTCGGTTAACTGTAGCTAGTATGAAGACATGGAATCTCAAAAATACTATGTAATAATATGATCAACCAGTGTAACTTATGTCCAGTGTATTCAACACAAATATTTGATGCATAATACATTTACCACAAATATTTTATTTATTTTATGCCCTTGCTATATTTTGAGTTAAGCGATTTGGTATAAAGTTATTTTCGCTAATTGCGTAACGACATTCTTTCCAGTAAAATTTGACAAGAGACGTTGGAAAATTAATAACATATTGATCTTTGACAATGTTAAGATTTCATGTAACAGTATGGCCTCTTGGATCATATCTACACCTCGACATTTAACAGTCGCAAGAGTGTTGTTTTCTGAGTCAGATGTAATAAAAATAAAGTAAAAAATCTTATTTTTTCTGCTAGGCTTGTTGCAAGTGTAAGATAGAATACGTAGTTCAGCATTATCAAAGTATGGTGTCACAAGTTTTTGAACATTAAAGTCATTCAATTTGAATATACAATGATGGCATTGCTCATTTAAGTGGACTTCTCCAGAAAATGATAACGAGATCATCGAATTAAAACAGATGACTATCTTGGGCTCCATTCCTGAGTTGTCCCAAATCTGATTAAAATCAGATTACATTTGTTCCAAAACTTTTAATGAACTAAACCTAGTCACAAGTTTCATATCTAAAAGTTGATTTTTCAGAAGTACAGTCTCGATATATAATGGTGTTGTTTTCAATGTTATCATCAGGTTGCGTATATCTACGATGATTATATATTTTAGATTGCACAAATGGGAAGACGTTTCCATATTACAACGGTAATGATGGTATACTTTATATAAAACCCTCTGCCTCTCCTACACTCATCCCTGTGTATTGTTCCCTAACACAACTCAGAGCAAGAACATACATACAGCGCCATTATGCACCTGGTTTTGGATTTAATCAGACCTGGGATAGCTATAGGGATGGGTTTGGAGATATGCTTACTACAGCCAAAGATTTCTGGCTGGGAAATGTTCATACACATTACATCACAAACAGTGGATTTTATACACTTGTGTTTGAAATGGGAAACGAAAATAAAAGTGAAGTTTATCAACAGGAATATGAAGGTTTTGTACTCAACGATGAGACATCAAAATTCTCTTTTGGACTTGATTCTGATCCTACAACTACACTATCTGGCCAACCTACACTAGGAAACTGTCTTTCATATGTTGAAAGTGGCATCTTTTCTACATATGACAAGGACAATTCTCTGAAATGCGCACACATACACGGCAGTGGGTGGTGGTTCGGGTACACAGCGAATTGTGGCTACTGCAATCCAAACGGCGTGCTTATTCAGCCAACCAACGACCAAAGGATTGGTGTGGATTATGAAGTATTCTGGGAGGAGAATATGAAAGATTGGTCTCCCTGGTATGTTGAAATGTGGTTAGAATTGAGATGATGAGTTCTACAAATAATTAGCAAATTACTGCTCATGGGCAAACCACAAAGTAAATATTAAAAAATATCTCAATCTTATTTGTGTTTATACATATTTATTTTATAATAATGTTTTATTGAACACGCAAACATTTGATTAAAAAATACAATGTCAAATATTTAAAACGTCTGCTCTTTTACGCGTATTTATTTGATTTCTTGACGCCGAACATATCCCCGATGAGTCTTGTGCTTTATATCTATCCAAACAATTGATTAACTATTAGGCAGTCTGAAAAAGGGGGGAAAACTGGGTGTCCATTCCACAAAGTGCCTGTAATTTTATTATACTCAAACTATTTTTAATGTCTGAACACCACCATAAAAAGAAAAAGAAAAATTCTTTTCGTCTGCCTTTCAATATATTTACACAATCGTTATTACAACTTTTTCTACTTAGGCCAATTATGGTGGTTAACAGTTGACTGTCAACGGCTTTTTTATTACTTTAAGTTTTAATTAACACAAATGGAAAGTTCGTGTCATCCAATAATACTTAAAATGTGACTTATCAAACATACAAAACCTATACTCTGCTAAAAAAGATATAGATTTTTCTATTGAACTGCTTGTTGGGTGGAAAATTAGCTATCTTGGTATTAAAGAAAAATAAATGTATGTAGTTTGTTTGTAATGAATGGTTAAACAAGCGCCTTTCAGCAACAGGAAAAAATCTTGCTTCATGTGTTCATGGAAGAACAAAGTGTAAATGTTAAAAGTATGTTTGGAACAGTATATTTGAAAATTGATCATTAAGAAATGCGACCAATCAGAGTGAACACACCTTTATAAATATCTGGAGGAATAATTACACTGACAAATATCTCACCTCATCCACGTGGAAAATAAGAATAGAGGGACATAATATATAATCAACTGTTGTTGTAATATCGTATGGATAAGAGCAGTAACACATTAAATTAGTGAAAATAAGTTAAAGTATCAAAGAATGTTTGCAAAATTAAAAAATAAAACACACAAACAAAAACAAAAGATAGAAAAAAGGGAGTCCATTCCCCAAGCGCCTGTGACTGCGTGTATAAAAAAGTTAACTTTGGTCAATGATCTGTCAAATAAGCATATACGCCTTACAAAACGTACAGTCGTAGACTAAATAAGATACCAAAATGTTCACCTTACAATAATTTTATAGACAAAACAGTTGACATACATCTCACAGTAATGAGAAACTTGCCACATCGTAAATCTTTCTGTACATCATTCTATCATAAAAATATGTCGAGATGAAATGATTCTTGTCAGACGGACGTACATTTTACAATCATCGTATATAAACACATGATTGACCAATTAATAATAGTATATAAACACATGGTTGACCAATTAATAATAGTAAATAAGAAACTGCTCTAATCACGTAAACTTAAATAATTTGTGTTTGTCATTGAACCATGAGTACAAGAGAAACCGACGTAAGCGGATATATTATTGATCATTAAACTATAAAAATGAGGACCATTAAGTCCGGACAATCGTCAGTAATTGTCTTTTCTGCTATCTTAATGTTTTTGAGAATTTGATGTTAATGACAGATGTTATATAATTCAAGCCTTAAATGTCTCAATTTAGAACTTGATATATTGTATAGACATCTGTACAGGTCTATATTTTTGACGACATTGTGTTGACCTCTGCCTATATTTAATTTGTTAATTTGTTTTCGTTGGGATACTTCTCCTTGAGGAGTGCTTAAGAATAATGAAATACAGTTATTATATACTGGTCGTTCTATTGACCTCGGTTACAGTACCTGAACTAGAATATACAGTTCTTTATTTTGTTTCTCATACAATATTAACATCATTCCAAACACTTCAGGTTTTGTATTCAATGCATAAATGGGACTAGATTTGGCACCGCTTTTGGACTTTCGATGCATTTAAAATTTGAGAGCCACACTGATGAGTCTTGCATAGAAGAAGCAATTAAGTGTCAGGTGTTCCTAATGATAATTCTGGCATCTTGGTAACTGTTTAGATTACAATGCAACTAATGGCTATAGTCTCATTAGATATATTCCATCTATTATGTGAATCAATAATCTTACATTTGATGACTTTCTCAACATTACAAACTTAATATCAATGAACTTTATAAATATAAAATAGAATCACATTTTAACTAAAAATACTGATGATACTAAACACATTATTTTGAAAGTTAGCCAGTCATGTTAGAATATTTGGAAATGAACTAACCAATACATACACAATACAAGCATTATCAGAAACTAGAGGCTCTAAAGCGATGTGTCTCTCACCTAGGTTGCACCTTCAACCATGAACTCTCTCAAACATTGTAGACTAGAATAAAACTCACGACAAAAATCTCTTTTTGTTGATCTTGTATTGCTAATCATTTTGTTCTGATTAGTTTCTCTCTCTCTACCATCTTTAATTTTTGGCCTAAAACGCAAAAAAGGGTATAAAAATTGTCATTTAAGGGCTATCACTCATATGAAGTGACTAATAACGATAGCAGCTAAATTTTACTTATTTTATATTGTGTCTTGCTGGTCATTTTTGCTATTTAGAGTGTCTATATATATTTTATAGTTTTCAAGAAAATAGGCAAAAACTCCACCAAAAATTGGTAAAAATCGTCATAAAAGAGCCAGAATTCCAATAAGGAGTCAACTGACAATTTCGGCTATGTTTACTTATTTGTAGATCTTGTCTTACTGGTCATTTTTGCTTATTAAAGTTTCTCTCCATCTATTATTGTTTTCAAGATAATGATGTACGACGGACTCAAAGTGAGGATATTCCTTTTGTGTAGTTTGATATCAAATCATTATACATGATGTACATGTGAAAATATGGCAGGACAAAATGATAAAAATGTCCATAGTACACAATTATAGATTATTGGTAATCATGGTATTGAAGCAAAAAACAACTGATTAAAACTAGTGAACAGAGAACAAGAAACACTACTGGCTACCTATAAACATTCTGGTCATTTAAATCAGACATATAAAACAAACTGCAGATGGTAAAAAGGTCAAACCACTAACAACACAAAGATCACCATTGACTTGGGCTTCACTTACATGTAGCAGGAGTAAAAAATATGTGAAGGTCTTGACTTTTCCAAAATGTGGCATAATTGAAACTTGCAACTTTTTTTTTTACTTCATGTTATACATTACCATGCTGTAGCCTAATCTCTCCAGCCACTATGTAACTGTGGAGACAACATTCATCAAATATACCAGGCTTATAATTTTGTACACCAGACGCCTGTTTTACCTACAAAAGACGATTCAGTGATGCTTGAATCAAAAAAGATAAAAAGGCCAAATAAATTCAAAGTTGAAGAGCATTGAGGACCCAAAATTTCGTAGGTTTTGCCAAATACAGCTAAGGTCATCTATTACTGGTGTAGAAAATCCTTAGTTTTTCGAAAAATTCAGTTTTGTAATTAGTAATTTATAAATGTGACCATATCAATGATAATTCATGTCAACACAGAAATGCTTACTACTGGGCTGGTGATACCCTCAGGGAGGACACTTCCACCAGCAGTGGCCTGGAATCTACCCAGTGTTGTAAATAAACTCATCAAAGATAACAGGTAACACTTTGACTATAAAAGAACAGAGTTCCAATGTCCCCCGCGTTGCACATATTTTATCCATCAAAGGTACAAGGGCAATTACTAATAAAAGCACTTTTTTTTTTTCTTTAAAACTTTTTATCAATATCTTAATGAAGGCTTCAGAGCAAATGCAATGTTATTTCCATTATAATTTATATTTCCAAGGGGCATAACTCGTTAAATATATTTGATTAGAACTTATTTTCGAAAGTGTCAAGACATTGCTGATATAAACCTATGATATAAGTTTCATAAAATTCTGGCAAGAATTGAACACATGAGAGTGACAACATTGCAATTTTCCATATAATCAATATTTTCAAGTGGCATTACTCTTTTAAAAATAATTGATCGGCACTGAGTTTTGAACTCTTCAAGAACATTGATGATATAAACTTATAATATAAATTTCATAAAAATCTGGCAAGAATGGTACACATGAGAGCACTAACAATGCAATTTTCAATCAAATAAATGTTTCCATGGGGCATAACTATTTTAAAAAAAATTTATCGGCACTGATTTTCAAACTCGTCCATGACATTGCTAATATAAACCTATGATATAAGTTTCATAAAAATCTGGCAAGAATTGTACATGTGAGAGTGCTAACAAGACCTGACGGATGGATGCACAGATGGACGGATGGACAGACGCCCGGTATTTCCATGTCCCCCGCAACGCGTTACGCGGGGGACAATAAACTGATGTACAACAATCTTCACAGTTGGCAACTTTGTAATGATCTCTATAATTCTTGGTATTCCATTGGATTGATTGATTGATTGATTGGTGTTTAAAGCCTCTTTCAGCACTGTTGTGCTATTTAGTGGCGATCAGTTTTTATAGGAGGAAGCCAGAGTGTCAGAGATAGTCATACAAAAAACATAATTAGAAATTGAAAGGAAAAACAAATTATCATCAATAATTCTGGAGTTGGGAGTAAACTTCAGTAGCAAGACGTATCCAGTATTCGAGCAGAAACTGTCAAATCAAAGTGGCAGTTTAGTATAGTCAACTGCACATAGTTACAATCCTCACAAGAATGAAAACTTTTAGGTAAATGTCTAAGAGTGTATAAGTGTACATGTGGATTGATGAAGACTATGACTATGTTGTTACTGTAACCTCAGGAAAGCTGCATAACCTTTATCTTTCCAGAATACCTGACTTTAACTACTGGTTTATACGTGACTTTGTATTGCCCATGCTTTTCTTCTGTAGAGTTTCACTGCCTATTTTTAGTCTTTGTTTACCGGAAATTAAAACAGAAATATTCTTGTATTTGGAAATCTGAACTTTACAATGATAGACAAAATAAACAGCACGGAAATAAACTAAGAACTTACAGATTATTTAAAGAAAATATTTGTATGGAAAAATACTTATTAATTTTGAATGAGGATGATAGGCGACTGCTCACTAAGTTCAGAGTCAGTGCACATAAATTAGAAATTGAAAGAGGCAGATATGTGGGGCTTCCAGTGGAGGATAGAATATGTAAATTATGCAACACTGAAGTTGAAGATGAAATTCATTTTATTCTTCGGTGTCCTGTTTTAGAAAATAAAAGATCTGAATATATAAATTACTTAAATAAGGTTAACAAAAACTTTAAAAGCCTCCCAAATAAATCAAAATTAATATGGTTAATGTCATCTGAGGATAATGTTATAATTAAAAAAGTAAGTTTATTATTGTGTACTTTATTCAAAGAGAGAAATTTAATTCTAGATACAGTTTAGTCACCGGTAGTTTGTCCATCTATATTATATTGTAAAACTATTATTCCTGTAGAAATTATTCTGCTGAGAAAGACTTGATTTTGTTTAATTGTTAATAATCAATGACTCAATATGTAATCACTTGTATGACATTGAACTTAATTGTACTGCTCAAATTATTGGGCGTCATAATTGACAATAAAAAACTTTGTATATTGTACTGTTTAGTTTTCCCTTTCTGATTGTTTATGATTTGTTCCTTTTTATAAAGCAGAACTATTCTTGGTACAATGGAAAATCATTAACAATAGAATGTGTTTAGGAATATAGAAATCTAGCCTCAAGGCCAAGCCTTTTAAAGATATCAAGCTCAATATATATATATTTCAGGCCCATTTGGTTTTTTAAGCCCTCAAAAGTTTTATATTTCTGTCTTCCAAAACTTTTGGCCAAATAACTGATTAAGGTTATTACAGAAACAAGTGTTGTATAAAACAGAAGAAAACATTTGTTGTATAAACAGAAGATTTTTTTTTAGATTTGCAATGTTCCCAATCAGATTTTTTTTTAATTTGCAATGTTCCCTATCAGATTTTTTTTTAATTTGCAATGTTCCCTATCAGATTTTTTTTTTAATTTGCATTGTTCCCTATCAGATTTTTTTTTTATTTGCAATGTTCCGTATCAGATTTTTTTTTTAATTTGCAATGTTCCCTATCAGATTTTTTAAGCTTTCAAAGTGTGTGACAAATGTTTGGTGACAAGAAGACTGATAAATAAGATTGTGTATCATGGTTGATTTTTATTGGTCTTCATCTATATCTACAAATGTTGACAGCATATCTACTATGTTCTCCTGGTCTTCAGTCTACAAAATAAAAAAATATATAAAATATTCATAAACAATTATTCAGAATTCCAACACTGGACATTACAATGCATTAAGCAAGCGACAATCAACCAATCAATCAATCAGAATTCCAATTATTTTAGTGCATACTAGTCATTTTCATTAAATTATCTGTACAAACTGGGTGCAAATTTTGAACTGTTCTTAAATTTCTCTCAGTCTTAAATATCATTTTTACAGCAAATAAAACATTTTCTAATAAATTTCAGGCAATTTTTCTTTCTCAGCATTTGGATTTTGTTATTTTCGTAGAAACATTAGCTTACACATAGAAGTGCAGGTTGATCTTTAGTGTAAACAATATTTTATTTTGAAAATAATAATAACATAAACATTACAAAATGACAATTTTATTGGGATTGGAAAACAAGTGAATTTTCACTTTTACAAATTCCTCTCCCATATGATATAATAATAGATGGATGGCGTCAGAAATATGTTTTTAACTGAAATAAGAAGTATTTGTTGACCAAATTCACAACTGAACTACAGTGCTATCAAACGTTAACTACACAGGTGTAAATATAAATATAAATTAACGACAATTTATTTTATACATAATTATATTTCTCAATGCATGTATATGAAATTCACACAAATCTCTTTGTTTTAAGAATAAAATCTTGAATAATGAGAAAGTTGTCAGAATTCTCAATGTCGGACATCAAAGGATTACCATACAGTAAGTTATGTATATTAGGCTGACATGACAAGTTACTCAGCATAAACTCTCTAAGTAATTGGTATTGCGGACAATGCAATAAAAAGTGTTCAGATGTTTCAATCTGTCTACATTTGCAAAAAGGATCAGTAACCAATTTTTTTCTATACAAATGTTCATTTAGACCACTGCTCTCAGTTCTAATTCTAGTGTGCAAAATTTGTCCTAGTCTACTACCACTATAAAAATATTTTGGGACAACCCAATTTTTCTTCAAATACTTCTTAAATATATATAAAGAAGAATTTCTGATATTAATTGGAATCTCGTTCCAAAGACGGACAGTAGAAGGAAGAAAACTGTTATGATAATAATTCGTTCGTGCAGACATGTGAGGCACATTTCCTGCGTTGCGTGTCCCATACGGATGTGATTGGCCAAAGTTGGTAGGGACTAGATTTGAAAGATAGGCTGGAGAGTTATTGTTAGCCATCTGCTGAAACAAAATAAGCTTGTGATTTTTTCGCCTTTCCCTGAGAGTTTCCCACCCGGTCTCTTTATGAAGAATTTGTAGACTTGTTAACTTAGTAACCCCAGTAACTATACGTGCTGCCTCATGATTAATTTGTTCCAGTCGATCTTTCAAATATTCTGGACAATTATCCCAGATTACATTGGCATACTCTAAAATAGAACATATGAAAAATACATGACTTCAAACGTTTTCCTGTCCGCCTTGAACTTAAGCCTTCTTAACATATTCAGACGGACAGATGCTTTTGCTATGCTGCCATCAATTTGTATTTTCCAGCTGCCGTCACTCGAAAAATGTAAACCAAGGTGTTTGTGTGACTAGACAGTTTTTATTACATTACTATTCATAATTAATGACGGATGATGATCAGGGTCTTTTTTTCTAGATATTATCATTGATTCAGTTTTCTTCGGGTTAAACTTCACTAACCATTCATCTGCCCATTTTTGAATTCGATGCATATCATAATTTAGAGTAATAGAAGTAACCAGAGGATTTTCGACAACTGTATATATGCTTGTGTCGTCAGCAAATAGCTTAATATGACAATTAACCTCATTTACAATATCATTAATAAAAACTAACTAGAGGCTCTAAAGAGCCTGTGTCGCTCACCTTGGTCTATGTGCATATTAAGCAAAGGACACAGATGGATTCATGACAAAATTGTGTTTTGGTAATGGTGATGTGTTTGTAGATCTTACTTTACTGAACATTTTTGCTGCTTACAATTATCTCTATCTATAATGAACTTGGCCCAGTAGTTACAGTGGAAAATATTTTGTAAAAATTTACAAAAATTTACAAAATTTATGAAAATTGTAAAAAATTGACTATAAAGGGCAATAACTCCTTATGGGGTCAATTGACAATTTTGGTCATGTTGACTTATTTGTAGATCTTACTTTGCTGTACATTATTGCTGTTTACAGTTTATCTCTATCTATAATAATATTCAAGATAATAACCAAAAGCTGCAAAATTTTCTTAAAATTACCAATTCAGGGGCAGCAACCCAACAACGTGTTGCTTGATTGGTCTGAAAATTTCAGAGCAGATAGATCTTGACCTAATGAACAATTTTATCCTCATCAGATTTGCTCTAAATGCTTTGATTTCAGAGATATGAGCCAAGAACTGCATTTTACCCTATGTACTATTTTTTAGCCATGTCGGCCATCTTGGTTCGCAGGCGGGGTCATTGGACACATTTTTAAACTAGATACCCTAATGATGATTGTGGACAAGTTTGGTTAAATTTGTCATAGTAGTTTCAGAGGAGAAGATTTTTGTAAAAGATTACAAAAATTTACAAAAAATGGTTAAAAATTGACTATAAAGGGCAATAACTCCTTAAGGGGTCAACTGACCATTTTGGTCATGTTGACTTATTTGTAGATCTGAACATTATGATGTTTACAGTTTATCTCTATCTATAATAATATTCAAAATAATAACCAAAAACTGCAAAATTTTCTTAAAATTACCAATTTAGTGACAGCAACCCAACAACAGGTTCTCCGATTCATCTGAAAATTTCAGGGCAGATAGATCTTGACCTGATAAACAATTTTACCCCCATGTCAGATTTGCTTTGGTTTCAGAGATATAAGCCAAAATCTACATTTTACCCCTATGTTCTATTTTTAGCCATGGCGGCCATCTTGGTTGGTTGACCGGATCACCGGACACATTTTTTAAACTAGATACCCCAATGATGATTGTGACCAAGTTTGGTTAAATTTGACCCAGTAGTTTCAGAGGAGAAGATTTTTGTAAAAGTTAACAGACGACGCCGGACGACGACGACGGACGACGGACGCAAAGTGATGAGAAAAGCTCACTTGGCCCTTCGGGCCAGGTGAGCTAAAAATAACAATGGACCCAAAATTGATCCTTGAGGAACACCAGAGTTAATGTCTGCCAAGGAGGACACTTGTCAATTTATAACCACCCTTTGTTTACGGTCAGCCAAATAATTTTTGAGCCAAAGAAGAAGATTCCCAGTTATGCCCATCTTTTTAAGTTTAAATAATAAACCTCTATGCCATACACGGTCAAAGGCTTTACTTATATCAAAGAAGACAATTCTGATATCTTTTCCCTCATCTAAGGCCTTACTAAAAACATGAGTCAAGTATAATAGCTGGTTACGAGTTGAATTTTTAACATAAACCCCGACTGGTGTTCCGACAAGAGATCCCTTATAAAGTTCATGATATGTTTATATATACATCTTTCAAAAGTTTTACTTATAACACTCAACAATGAGATGGGTCGATAATTACCAATATAATTTCTTTCATCCTTCTTAAAAACAGGAATAACATTAGCTAACTTCCAAGCTATTGGATGATACATTTTAGTCAAACTTAGATTGAATATATCAGTCAGGGATATAACTCTATAGGGTTATTACAGAAAAATAACATACATTTGTTATTGTCGACTAAAAAATCAAAGAACTGTGATAACATATGTATGTTACATGTTTCAAAGGGACAATATACATCATTAGTTTAGTTAAAATGTATACAAGCTCTATTGATATTACTATTGTCTTTATGTATACTTAACTATAGAAAGATATAACAGTTCATAGTTTCCAATCTTGCATAGTACACCTATGTTATTACAGAAAAAATATGCCTGGAATAACTAAAAGGTGTTATCACAGCTTCTCTACATCACTCCAAAGCATTTGCTCAGACATAAATCATGCTTAATTACAATGTATTTTAATTTATTGTAAGAAATAATGACCAGAGCATGTAATGAGGTTCTGCGCAAGCTTCCCAGTAATTCCCAAGTGTCTAATATAATAAGTTATATTCCTTTAATAACTAAGCCTTGTTATTACAGCTTAGTTTATCCTTTAAAAGCCTTGTCTCATTGATTTACCTTGGTTAATCAAAAATGTATTAATTTAATTAAAAAATTAGTTATCAAGGCTATGCATTTAGTTTCTGCGCAAAGTCTCTAGAGTTCCCTAGAGCCCACTATAAATTAAAATATTTTTGATTTATTTTACAAATAACAAACATATGTTATTACAGATTTAGAAAATTTAAGGAATAAAGAGTAGACAACTCATGAAAGTATCTGTAATAACACACGCAAGTTATTTTCTGTAATAACCCTATATCTCTGACTGTATATAGCATAAAGGTTTTGCAAAAATATCTGAGGCAATTTTCAAAAGTCTTGGGCTAATTCCATCAGGACCAGATGCTTTATTAACATTGGTTATTTGTAGAATGTCTTTCATCTCATGCTCCTGAAGAATTATATTGTCAAGACACGTGACAGGGGGAGTATCGTCAGTAGGAACAGACATGTTTTCATCAGAAACATTTGACTGTGACGCAAAAAAAGCATTAAAAGCTTCAGCTTTATCAATGTCGTTATATAAAAAATCATTGTTGTCGAGAAGTGGGGGGATATCAGATTCTATGGACTTAAATCCAGCTAGATGTGATGCTGTTATCCACCAACTTCTCATACTCAAGGAGTCAGACCTTAATTTCGCAACGAGACCGTCGATGTAGTCTAGTTTTTGTTTTCGGACTAGACTACATCGACGGTCTCGTTGCGAAATTAAGGTCTGACTCCTTAATTTCGCAACGAGACCGTCGATGTAGTCTAGTTTTTGTTTTCGGACTAGATTTACGGTCTTGTTTCGAAACTTTCGAAATTTTGACCAGTGCTCTGGAAGATTAGACTTCTTCGCTCTTTTGTTCATCCTATTTCGCTTTCTGATTGCGCGACAAATAGTATTGTTAATCCACGGCGGATCTGTCTTCCTAACTGTTATGATTTTATTAGGAATCGATTCCGCTGCGGTTTTCAATAGAATTTGTGTCAAAGTCTCTCAGGTTGATCTTTAAAACTCTTGATGGTTGTGTCTCTAGCAGGTTATAGATACAATTTCTTACCATAAATGCAGCTGAAGAGGTAATGTTTACTTTTCACCTGACAAAAATAAATGTATCTTGGACATACAGAAATCCAAATTCTGAAATTGATGCCTTTTAAAAATAAGAAGGTACTTACAGACAGTGTGTGTTTTTCTTCCTCTTTTTTCACTCCTTCTGAATTGTTCTCCCTGAGTAATATTTCAGGTGTTGATGATTCTACAGTATCTTTCTGGTTGACTCTCGACTCCATGAAATCTCCTATTGTGGTATCAACATCAGTGTCCATGATGGTATCATCCTGTTCTTTCAGTGGGGACTGTCTCTCATTTCTACTAGAAAGGTTAGATTTCATTTGACCTTGATTATTTGTTGACATGGTAACAGTATGATCAATAATTCTGGACTGTTGACTTTCAGAATCACCGTGTCCCCATTGCTTTTGTTTTCTCTCATAGATATCTTCAACATTAGATTCTATGACATTTTTCTCGACACATGTTTTCTCAGTAAAGCTTTTTTTGGACTCTCCATTGTCTTTATTGTGTTTTTCTCTGACTGATTCAAATAAAGATGATGTGCTTTGTCCTGATAAAAATATGTTGCTCCTTTCTAAGGCTTTATCTTGCTGGATAATGTCTGTTTTATCTTCAATTACCTCCCTTGACACTTTTTTCAGTACATTATAAGATGGAGCCCTGGCATGTATAAGGGCTTCACAGGCTTGAAGAGATTCTATACTGTATGATGATACCTGCATTGTAAATAACAAACACTTCAATTTCTTTTCCATGACAATTTTCTAATCAAGCTAATGGTTTAATGTAATAATTATAATTCTGCTTACCCTTTCTGAGCACCTGAGATTACCCCCCGGTTTTTGATGGGGTTCATGTTCCTCTGTCGTTAGTTTTCTATGTTGTGTATACTGTGGTTTTTTTTTGGGTTGTTTTTAGTTTTTTGCCATGGCATTGTCAGTTTGTAAAGGACTTAAGAGTTTTCATATCCTTTCGGTATCTTGAATAAAATTGTTGATTGCTTATTAAATGTCCAGTGGCAAATATTTCATTAATATTGAGGACAAGTTATCAATTAATACACTAGTAAGATTCTGCCAAGTAGGTTGACCAGAATGAAGGGTGGGAAATTTGAAATGCCACTGGAAAATGAGGATATGTTTAAAAGGAGCAAATTATGTCTTGCAACAGGTCACCTACAGACCCTTGAGAGTTGTTGCAAGGGTTTTTTAACATCCAGATAGAGTTGCACTTGTCCCTCTTTTATAAGGTTTTCAATATAGTCATACTAGCTTTTGCAAGTTTTGAAAGGCGAAAGGTGGAAAGGTAAAAAAAACAAAGTTGCTTTAGAGATTTTGATCGTTACCTGTTGATACATACCAACAAACTACTGTCCTGAGATGTACATCTGAGAACTGATAGTGAATAATGCAGTAATGATGATGCAGTAGGATGTGGCATTGTATTAAATGCTTGCATGACCCTCAACAGACTGTGGCGACATCTATCATCAACGTAAGGTATTCCATAGTTACCTTTACATCTGAAGGTAATGGAAACTGAAATAAGGAAATCTTGCAGCTCCTAAAAAAATGATTATTACTTATAAAATAGTTCCAGAGTACGAATATAAAACAAGTTACTGTAAAATAGAAATTCTGTGAGATCTGCTGCAGTCTATTTTTTCTTTAAGAAGAAGATGTAATCAAAGATACACTGACTTTGTAGATGAATAACTTTGAACTTTTCACTTTAAAGAAGCACTTTTTAGGAACAAAGTTAACTAAAAAAATATAATCTGATTTGTGAAAATGTCAATTATAACAACAAAAAAATAGAACAGATTTACCTCAACTATTTTCTGTTTAAGTTGACAACCTACAGTAGTAAGGAACCAATATAAAACTGAAAAATAAAAATAAATCACTGTAGAAAAAACAGGTGTGACAGATCACTGTAAATCAGAAATAATGAAACTAAATTTGTATATCAAGGTCCTTCTTGACAGTCATGACAGTATGATTGATGTATTGTTGTTTCCTTTACATCCAGCTTGATATCATGAACAGTTTCATCATATTTAGGGTAATTACTTTATATAATCATCAATAAACCTTAAACCATTTAGACTTAAGTGAAAAATAAAGGAGCATCATTCTTACCCAATATCAAATCTAACTTCAAAGCTTCTGGAAATTTCAAGAAATCAGAAACAAAAACAATAACTCTAACACTATCTTAAATTTTAAAAACTTTCTCTACATTTTGGTCGCTACTTTTATAATCATCTGGATTCCTAAAAACTGATTTTATACATACATGTATACGGGACATATCTCTTGAAGGTAAATGAAATATCTGCCATAATTGAACTTCAGCATAATTTTATGATCCATGAACTTGCTTAAAAATGTCAAAAGATAAGCTTAAGCAGTATGTAAAAATCAATTATCAAAATAATGAAAGGATGGCAAGCAGACATATAGATCTATAATTGATAGTGGTTGTCATAATATAATAAACAAAATATAATATATAAACTGTTGACACAAAGAAATATCTCGCTTTTTGTAATTTTGATAGTAAAATCCAATTGTTGAAATTAAAATGGCAGTATTAAACATGTTAACTATGGAAAACATTCAAAGTCAATGAACTATGACTAAAGGTGCAGGGCCAAATAACCCACATGAAAATAAATGCCAATGCTTATTAAACTGCATACCAAATACCATTGACTTATCGTAAGTGGTTCCATCTAAACTAACCTAAACACAAACTTTAACTTGTAAAGTAAAACTATGCAAAAGTTTAAAAGTCAACGAACCATGAGATAATCTCTATGCAAATGCTTATACAACTGCATACCAAATATCATTGACTTAAAATTCGTGGTTTATCTTAAACTGATCTAATCACATACTTTAACATGTATACTATGCAAAATATTCAAAGTCAATAGACCATTACTTAGGGGGAAGAGCCAAATAATCTCCATGGAAATGAGATGTGCCAATGCTAAATACATCTGCATCCCAAATATCATTGACCTACCACTAATGGTTCCCCTTAAACTGACCTAATCACAAACAGATACATGTAAACCAAGCAAAAGTTTGAAAGTCAATAGACCATGATTGAGGGGGAGCCAAATACTCTCAGTGGAAATAAGGTGTTCCAATCCTAATACCATTAACCTACCACTAGTGGTTTCCCATAAACTGACCTAATCCCAGCTGCCTAATTACAAACTATGCTGCTATTTTACCTTCCAATGCTACCATACATAGTTCTGAGTTAGCCTCCAAATCTACTTTCTTCTGTGTACTAATTCCGATACTGATTTCAGAGTAACCTCCCTTCTTCTTCTTCTTGGATGGTGGAGGTTCAAAACTGTCTGATTTTTTGCTTTTGATGGAAACTGTCTGATGAAAATATTAAAAAAGTTAAAATAATTCAAACAATAAAATCTTGATCCATGTCATAAAAATACCTGGGTCATTAAAGACCATTTTGAAAAAATAAAACAAGATCTTACCTGTTCAAGCATTAAGATATGCCTTGGAGAAGATTTAAAGACATTACTTGATTATGGGGTCAGTCTTTGAAAATTTGTTATTGCGAACCCAATGAAAGTTTTCCACAGTGCCATCTCTATCTTGACCAGGTATTTAAACTTTTGCAAGTTCACCTGTCCTATTGAATAAATACAATAGCTATTGTTCTCTGTGTAGTTTATTCTCTGGGACCTTTAAATTTCTTCTACGAGAAATCTATCATTCATTGATTAAATTACCTGAGTAAAAAAATGATCTTATATGTAGACAAAAATACTTTTTTTATACTCATTAACTGTGTGTGATGATGTAGTTATTCAATATTAATAATATATTTTCATTCAGTTTATTATATAAACATTGATTCAATCATAAAAAGTTGATTTCTGACAAAATTTATTCTAATTTTATTTTTTGTCTTTTCTTTGAAAAAACAACACATCTTATTAATCATTCAGCTTTCACACAAAGTCAAGGATGTATAACTAACATACATCCTTGACAAAATAAACAGAATAATTTTATGTAGTGTAGATCAAAATAAATAATAGGTATACTATAGAGATCAAGCATTTGTGTATTCAGTTTAACAGATGAGTAATAAATTGTCTATTTAATTATGTAACACATGATATATTAACTGTGGTTAATTAAGACTGCATTAGAGTGGAGTTGATTCCAATTAATACTCCAACCTTTAAGTGAAATTGCTTGTAAATAATGACAGTTGTCTATCATACTGTATTGTATAAAGTAATCTTACTTGCCTAATGGAAGAATTGGAATAATAGCATTTCAAAAAAGTGTGGGAATCAACTTAGATATATCAATACACATCTTGACCCAAATTTTATTCAATAACTTACACAAGCATAAGATACTAATACAATACTTTCCAAATTCTTATCAACTGACTAAATTGATATATTTTACTTTTTCACATTAATTCATAAATAGTAAATTATTATAAATTTTGATTTACAAAGCAATTGTAGTTACAGTGAGGGACTACAGCCTCTGTAATTATAAAGTAACTTACCTTCATGGTATCTGTGTGAGGTCTGACATCATGCAGTATTTCCTGAACTAACCAATCCTCTTCCTCTGTAGTTACAGTGAGGGACTACAGCCTCTGTAATCATAGTAACTTACCTTCGTGTCAGCTGTGTAAGGTCTGACATCATGCAGTATTTCCTGGACTAACCAATCCTCTTACTCTGTAGTTACAGTGAGAGACTACAGCCTCTGTAATCATAGTAACTTACCTTCGTGTCATCTGTGTAAGGTCTGACATCATGCAGTATTTCCTGGACTAACCAATCCTCTTACTCTGAAGTGACAGTGATGGACTACAGCCTCTGTAATCATAGTAACTTGCCTTCATGGTATCTGTGTGAGGTCTGACATCATGCAGTATTTCCTGGACTAACCAATCCTCTTTCTCTGTAGTCACAGTGAGGGACTACAGCCTCTGTTATCATAGTAACTTACCTTCATGCCATCTGTGTGAGGTCTGACATCATGCAGTATTTCCTGGACTAACCAATCCTCTTTCTCTGTAGTCACAGTGAGGGACTACAGCCTCTGTTATCATAGTAACTTACCTTCATGGTATCTGTGTAAGGTCTGACATCATGTAGTATTTCCTGGACTAACCAATCCTCTTCCTCTGTAGTTACAGTGAGGGACTACAGCCTCTGTAATCATAGTAACTTACCTTCATGGTATCTGTGTGAGGTCTGACATCATGCAGTATTTCCTGAACCAACCAATCATCTTCCTCTGTCATTACAGTGAGGGACTACAGCCTCTGTAATCATAGTAATTTACTTTCTTGGTAACTGTGTGAGGTCTGACATCCTGGACAAACCAATCATCTTCCTCTGTAGTTACGGTAAGGGACTACAGCCTCTGTAATCATAGTTACTTACCTTCATGGTATCTGTGTGAGGTCTGACATCATGCAGTATTTCCTGGACTAACCAATCCTCTTCCTCTGAAGTGACAGTGAGGGACTACAGCCTCTGTAATAATAGTAACTTACCTTCATGGTATCTGTGTGAGGTCTGACATCATGCAGTATTTCCTGGACTAACCAATCCTCTTCCTCTGTAGTAATTGTGAAAGACTTTGTGGTTTGTAGCCAAAGTACTAGTGTTCTGTATACTATCTGTCTTAATGAGCTGAAGTACAAGAGTATAAATAGAGAAGGACAATTAAGACACTAGTATACATATCCTAATACCAATACTCAATATTCTTTATAAACATGGTATTTCATGATTTTCCCTGGTTGCTGTCTGTTAGATTTGTTTTTGGTTAAGTAATTTGTCATAAATCAGACCGCTGGTTTTCTTGTTTGAATTGTTTCACATCTCATCATGTTAGGGCCTTTTATAGCTGACAATAAGGTCTTTTTTTCCCTCCGTGTTGAAGGCATCACGGTGACTTTGAGATGAAGAACAACAATAAAAGTGCTGTTCCTTTGCTTAATGTGTCTTTTTTGCTGTGCATGTATTGATTTTGTGTCATGGATGGATACCCCATATCCTTTTTTTCTATTATATGGTTTTGCTTATTGTTGAAGGCCATATGGTGACCTATAGTTGCTTTCATCTACTTTATTTCGACTCTGGTGTCTAGATGTCTCATTAGCAATCATACCATATCTCCTTATTTTTATATATATTTTTTTTAATTTCCTATACCCTGTTCAAAATGGAACCTAATTTTAAAGCAAATTTTATCATTTTCCTAATGCTGTTGGTTCATATGTATTGTTATGTGTTTCGTCATGTTCTATGACTTGCAGTCAAATTATTCCATACCAAAAGGACAAGAACATAATTATCTCACCTGTGGGCTCTGTTCTGGCCATAAACAACTTTAGTCCTGAATGACATCAATTCTTTGACCATAACAGTTATAATGCTCTTGGAATATGGCAACAGTAATGTTTTACACCTGAATTAAACCATGAGAAAAGTAGATACATGCACAAATAGCCCGAATAAAATTTTAATTTTTTTAGTAAAAATCAGGAAATACATACAAATCGTTTATCAATTTAACATATGAGGTAATTTGCCCTTTTATTCATTACATTCTAAATATAAATTATTATTACTGCAACCTCTGCCGACAACAGCATGCCTATATCTCACTTTTAGAACTTCGCCAATGCCTCAAACAGACTACAGTAATTATATGCATTTTCTTGTTATTACTAAGGCACAACTAAATGCTATATTATTTTTTCCCATGCAACTAAATATAACAGAGTAATTATCAGACTTTATATACATTTGTACCACATGATACAAGGGAGGCAACATTTGTTATAATTAATGTATACAAGGGAGACAATCAGTTTATATTTACCTTGAAATTAGACTATGAAGACTTAGTACTGCATCACTGTGTAGAGTGGATATATATCCTGATAATAACAACCTTTCTGTAGAGGGTCTGACAGTCTACAACATTTGATTTCTTTCTGTAGCATTCATAAAATACATATGATGTAAGGATTATAACAACCTCCCTGTTGATGGCCTCATAGACTTCAATTATTTATTACTCTCTGTATGCTAATTAGGTCTTTCCACTTTTCTGTGGAAAGACCTATTGTATTTGGTCTGATTATTATTATTATTATTTTTTTTTTTTTTTTTTTCTTCTGCCAAATTTTGTTCTTGCGATAAATGTTTGTTTCGCAATATGTCGCTTAGATATTTCTCATATTGTATCGTATAGTTTATGCGCTTTTAAATTTCACCCTGCTAAGCCGAACCATTTTCTTTGTAAGAGTTATCTCCCTATTCACTGTTTATCATCTGTGTGCATCTCCTTCGTAACAAAAAAAGATATCGACAAAATTCTTTTTACAAATTGTTCGTTACATCCTCAGGAATTTTTGGCTAATTTGGATCGAAGCGATTCGATGAAATTTTTATAGGAGTTATCTACCTTTATCAAATAAATTTGTCGTTATGTTTTTGTTACTCATAAACTGTAAGCCGTATAAACCTATAATCTTTTTATTTAAGGTCCTTGGATCCTAACTTCGAAAATGAGGTCAAGGTCAAAGGTCAAGGTCATGTGCTGAATTTTGTCTTTTGCTTGTTTTTGCATTTTCTCCGATATTTTTAATGTTATATATTAAAGAACAAGTGCAAAATGTTTGTTATATTGTGATGAAGATATGATACATTTGGTCTGAGACAATCCAGCGACATCTTATTGGAGTTATTGCCCCTGAAATGTTTTATTTTAAGGTAAATTGATTATTACTTCATATTGGTACATGATAAAGCCATAAGATCTTTTGCAAAATGTTGGGTGACATATGACCTTGAAAAATGTCAACCGGAAGTGACCTTGAATGAACCGGAAGTAGTCATTTTTGCACTTATTTCATGTAGAAGTACATAGAAACCATATATTTTTTGAATGGTCATACATTAATCTATCATTTGAGACCGGAAGTGATATTTTATAAACCGGAAGTAGCATATTATCTCCCTTTTTACAAGCAAAAGTATATATAAACCATATATTTTTGGAATCAGTGTAAATAAAGCTATCATATGAGACCGAAAGTGACATTTTCTAAACAGGAAGTAGCCAATTATCTCCCTTTTTACAGGCAAAAGTATATATAAACCATATATTTTTGGAATCAGTGTAAATAAATCTATCATATGAGACCAGAAGTGATATTTTCTAAAACGGAAGTAGCCAATTATCTCCCTTTTTACACGCAAAAGTATATATAAACCATATATTTTTGGAATCAGTGTAAATAAAGCTATCATATGAGACCAGAAGTGATATTTTCTAAACCGAATGTTGACAATTATCTCCCTTATTTCAGGCAAAAGTCTATAGAAACCATGTTTATTGAATCAGTATGAAGAAACCTATGATTGGACGCCAATAGTAGCTTTGAGTAAACCAGAATTATCTTCTCATCAATTATTTAGAAAATTGATGTGGAAAGACCTTCAATTGTTCTTTGAACAATTGGTTTTTAATTATATTTAGATTTATAAATCAAGTATAAAATAACAATACTTAAAAGCAATTTATTTAATGAGCCATTAATTCTCATGACTTTCAGGTGTAGAAAAAATACCTGAATAAGAATTGTCACTAATATGTCAAACTTGGATCTACCCCATAAGAGTACATCAAAAATGTTACAAAATGGTGAAAATAAATCAGCACTGTAGGTTAGAAGGGCTAAACATGACAAAGTGGATTTTTTGTCTTGCAATCCAATATTGTGTAAACTTTCTTTAAAACACTGTTTTCCTCATTCTGTTACTTTTTGTTTGAAACATTAAATAAATTGATGGTTTTAAATTTGATTAGAATATTTCAAAAACTTCACTTTCAAAGCTTATGCAAATATTTGAGCAGGCATTATAAGATAAATTTCTATATTGTACTTACTAAATCTCTGATATTGACAGATAACACTTTAGTTACTAGTTTTATGACATCACTAACTGGAATTTTGACAGGAGCAGGAAACGGCTGACTGAAAATATCAAAAATTCATTCACTGAAATTTCTTATTAACTTTTTCACTCATGGGCCAGATATTCTACCAACACTTGAACGTTGAATGTCCCAAAATAGAATTTATGGCCCAATTTTATTTTTTTAAATCTTTGAGTGCAAATGATATTTTAATATTAAACTAATTTCCTGTATTAATATGCATTCACTTTATATTCACTGAAAAGAAATTCCTGAAAAAGATGCATTTTTTTTTATTTGTTGAACTCTCAATCTATGACTGTTTGCTAGAGCTCCTACAAATTTATACAAGTGCGAACAGGCTTCGATACTCAACATTGTATGATTGCTATTTGTACCAGCTTCTTAAAACTTTACACCACAGAAGCCATCTTAAATCTAACTGACAATGCAGGCAAGGATTTCCACAACGAATTCACATTATGAAAACTCCATCAGATTGGGACAAAAGATTTACTCATAATTTTGTTTAAAACCCACAATATCTATATATATATATGCATCATGTCATGATGTTTTCTATGAAAAATTATACAAAAATAATAGTTAATTTGTTGTCTGAAAATGAACTTTTACATTCTTTTTTCGTCTTGCAAAATTTGAAGTGCACTACTGATATATTCACAGTCCCAATATACCAATAAATGTGTTAATAGTAATTACCTGAGTAATTCTTGTAAACAAAGGTGTTAATGGTAATTACCTGAGTAATTCTTGTAAACAAATGTGTTAAAGGTAATTACCTGAGTAATTCTTGTAAACAAAGGGAATAAGTATGGTGATAAGATGATAAAATGTTAAATCTGTTTGTGTATGTCTCTGGAAGTTCTCTCATCGGCAGGACTGGAACACTAAACGTTGATGCCAACTCTGGAAAAGTAAATATATACAAAGCATAAATGATTTTGTTTTTGGCAGTTACATTTGCATTAGGCTTCACATCAATATGTTCAGATGCAAACATTGGTGGATAGTTGTCTTATTTTCAACCATTACACATCTCTGTATTTTCATATTTATTTTAAGTCTAATTCTCCTTGCACTTATTTACTCAGGTCTGTGAACTTTATCAGCTTCATTAAAGTATAATAGGCTATCAGCCATTAGACAACCTAGTAGCAAGACTGTAAACTAGAGGCTTTAAAGAACCTGTGTTACTCACCTGGATCCATGTGCATCTTCAACAATGGCCATTCTCAAACATTGTAGAAAAGTAAAAATTTCATTTTAGGTCAAAAACTATTAAAAGGAGTCGAGACAATTTCAGCAATGTTAAATAAAAATAAGAAGATGTGGTATAATTGCCAATGAGACAACTGTCAATCAGAGAACAAATGAAGTAGATGTAAGCAAATATGGGCCTTCTACAATGAGCAAAACCCATACCATAAAAGGCCCCAAAAATGAACAAATGTAAAACAATTCAATGAGAAAACCAACAGCCTGATTTATGTACAAAACAACTAGAGGCTCTAAAGTGCCTGTGTCGCTCACCTTGGTCTATGTGCATATTCAACAAAGGACACTCTCCAACATTGTAGACGAGAATAGAATTCATGACAAAAATCTGTTTTGTTGATCTTGTATTGCTAATCATTTAGTCTGTTTAGTTTCTCTCTATCTTCTTTAGTTTTTGCTCAAAACACAAAAGAGGGTAAAAAAAAATCTTCATTTAAGGGCAATCACTCCTATAAAGAGTGACAGCCTACATACTATATCTTCAAAATTTGACTTGTTAGTAGATCTTGCCTCGCTGATCATTTTTGCGATTTAAAGTGTTTATTTATTTATTATAATTTTTATCATAAAAGCCAAATGTGAAAAACAAATGGTAAAAATCGTCATTAAAGGGTAATAACTCCAATAAGGAGTCGTTGGCCGATTTTCTCCATATCGTCTTAATAGTAGATCTTGTCTTGCTGATCATGTTTGCTTTACTTAAGTTTCTATCTATTTATTAAAATTTTTAAGATATAAGGCAAAAACGCCAAAAAATGGTAAAAATAGTCATCAAAGGGCAATAACTCTAATAAGGAGTAAACAGACGATATCGACCATGAGAATTATTTGTAGAATTGTCTTGCAGATCATTTTTGCGATTTAAAGTTTCTCTTTATCTATTATAGTTTTAAAGATAATAGGCAAAAATGAAAAAAAAAAGGTAAAATTTGTCATTTAAGGGCAATAACTCCTACAAGAAGTTGTCTGACAGTTTTGACGTATATGTCCAATTGGTAGAGCTTAACATTCTAAACATTTCTGTCCGATCAGATTTTCTCTATTCATAACGGTTTTCAAAATAATAGACAAAACTTGCATTTTACCCCTATGTTTTATTTTTAGCCATCTTGGTTGGCAGGCCGGGTCATCAGACACATTTTTTAAACTAGATACCCCAATGTTGATTGTGGCCAAGTTTGATTAAATTTGGCCCAGTAGTTTCAGAGGAGAAGATTTTTGTAAAAGTTAACGCCGACGGACGACAGACACCAAGTGATGAATAAAAACAAAGTAATAGTTTTTTTTTATTATTCTAACAAAATTAGCATGTCGTTAAAGCATCATTTGGGGAGGAAAGCTTTGTATCCATGTTGAAACTGAGAGGCATGAATCCTTATGCAATACTATACCAAATATCAATGATCTCTCATCACTGCTCATTCTAAGATGCATCTTTTTAGTAAACATTACTCAGACAACACCAGAAACATAACACTCGATGCTTTGTCTCCAGAGGTATTCACTGTAAGCAGGATAAAACTGATTGAAAAGCTGAATGATGCAAATCTATATTGTTAAATGCATAATAAAAGAACAGCATTCCAATGTCCCTGCGTTGCACATATTTTATCTGACAAAAAGGGCAATGACTAAATAAGAGATCGATAGAGAAGACAGGCATAAGAAGGTCTTTAAACACAGTAGCTTCTATGGAAGTTTCATAAGTTGAAGCCATATTAATTATGTGTATAAAGGGGCCTCGGTGGCCGAGTGGTCTAAGTAGTTACTACTGTAATCACTAGCCAGTCAACACTGAGGTTGTGAGTTCGAACCCGGCTTGTGCGGGTGCACTCGACTCCAATCTTAATTGACTAAGATTGTCAGTTTTCCTATCAAAGGTCGGTGGTTTTCTCCGGGCACTCCAGCTTCCTCCACCAATAAAAACTGGCCGCCACGAAATAGCCCAAAAGCGGTGCTTAAAAGTGGCGTTAAAACACCAAAAATCAAAATCAAATTATGTGTATAATGTGTTTGAAAGTTAATGAACTAAAATCAAACTATATATCATATTCTTACCAGGAATATTCAACCCATTATAAAGTAGGTTAACTATTTCCGTTAGACTGGTAATGATCTGTTGAAACTTGTATGACCAGGCCTCGGTGAAACGGATACCCTTGTTTCCACCACCTCCACATCTAGCTAGCAACACATACAGGGCAATGGCTTCCTGGAAAATAAATTCTATGACTTTGATGGCTTCTAAAAAACTTCCTTGAAGTTCTCATCTCTACTAAATAAATTATTGTAAATACAACAATTACTATATATGTGCATTTAACACTGTGATCGTTGTTCATTGTACAAAGTGTTTAAGGTTAATCAATGACATTTCACAATATTCTACATTCAAATATTGCAATTTAAACTATGTGTTCTAATTAATGCAATACTTATCTCATTATATTTTTCACAATAGAATAAAATTATCTGAAGTAACAGTAATTATGTTTGTCCTATATAAACATTGGTTTTACTGAGGTGACTACATTTGTAATTTTCCTTATTCAAACAGACACATATTGATGTGTAGTGTAGTCTAAAAGATGGAAACATTTGAGTCAGGCAAAACCTTTTGTTCTTGTTCATTTTCGTTCTTGTTAACTGTAAATAATACCTTTGGTACAGACTGCTCCTTAAATAACTCCATTACCATAGCTTCCAATTTAGTCTACAATATATACAATATACAAAGTCATAAATGTCTGCATTTCGTAATATAAACATACAAATTATAAAGAAAACAAAATACATTTGTTCTATATACAGACCTTCTCTATAAGAAATGATGAAGTACATGCATTGCCATAGGAAACTGTAAAATCACACAAACAAAAATAATAAGATGTGAATTTGAATGATTGTATGAACTTGAATGAAAAAATTGTAAAAGAGGGTTTAATTGCATGTTAATTTCTGTTATATACTATGTCCCATTGGCAATCACACCACATCTCCTCTTTTTTATAATACTAAATTTTTCCAAATTATATCAAGAGTCTTCATACATAGACATCGGTCATCTTCAGTCAGCCACAGCACTAACCTTAAAAGTTCCACAGGGCCCTGGATAACTTTGAATACATACTCCTAGTAGCTTGAGAGATGCTGTAAGCCACTGAAATAAAAAAAAATATATTCAATACCTGTTATTATGTAATATGGGCCAATTCAATTTAAATCATATCATACCAGTAACTGCTAAGTCTATAAAAGTAACAAAGGTTTGTTTGAAAAATGTACAAAATGCTTCAATAATCCTAAATACCATGATCATCTGTTTGACACAGTGTAAATATTCTATTCTAATATGACATTCTTCATTTGAGTACACAACCACTGTTGAATAATACTCCCATGTTGTATAATTTTTATGAATGAGTTACCCGAGGTTAATCGGTGAAAATGACGTCATTGAACAATGACGTAAGAATATAAGCATACTACAGGAAAATGTATGGATGTGAAACTAAAAATCATCAAAACACACAAACATAAACAAATGATGATAAAAATTTGTTTAGGCCAATTTTCTTAAATAAAAGTAAGATAATCATTTAAACTTTGTCCAAAACCTGTCTAAGTCAGTCAGGGGTAATACTTATACAAGTCATTTTTTTATTACTTGAAGAGGCAAGTAATTATATACTTTTATAAGTAAATTTGTAACATTTATTTTTTCTTTTCAATGTTTGAATAATCTCCCCTTAATCTTCTCCAAAAATTTACTTATATAATTTTATTTTACAGCTCCTAAAATTCTCAAGTTTTGGGAGGTAAAAACATGCCTGAAAAAAATTGTCAATCGTTTAAGCATGTCACTAATTCATTTTTTTTTTTGTATTTTTAGTGTTTTTAATTTTGGGAACAGCAAATATTTGCCTTCACCTAGAGCGCTTCAATACAATAGAATTGTTGTATTTGTCCTCTAAGAATAGAAATGATTTATAGGGGCATGAATTTATACTGATTTTAGAACAGGTTTACCCTTTATGCCAATATTTTAACCCTTGCTATCGCTGACAGTAAAATATTTAACATAAAGGGCTGACCTGTGGTAAAATCAGTATAAATTCAAGCCCCAATGAATTATTTCTTAAGTAATGACTAGATAATTGACATTCTGAACAAATCCAGTCAGTCCATAGGTTAAATCCAGAGTCTTGTTAAAAAGAGATTTGAAGGAACTAGTAAACTATTGTGACAGTTCATCACAGTGATGAAATAATGTTATCTTTACTAAGTACATTATGTAATTGTTTATATCATATATCATGGAACGTATATTTACCTCAGAACTTGCTGATATAAGTGTTGCTAGTAACTGTGGTAAAACAGAAATAATATCTTTACTAAGAGCAGTGAAGTTCACAGTTAAAGGTATAATTTTACATCCTACATGGCAGGATAATCTCTTGACAACTACAGGATCATGGGACTGCAAAATAAAATAAATCACAATACTGTTGTTAAATATAACTACAACAAGATGATTAATCAGCATCAGAAGGTAAAGGTTTCAAACATTTGTAAAAGAACAATCTATAACCATTTTTGAAAATAAATCAAAAACACATTTGCATCTGTCATGTCTGTAAAATTAGGATTTAAGTCAAAGTGACATCATTCTTTGTACATTCTTGTATAAGTAGTGTTACACATAACATATAACTGATATCATTAGTATATGTAAAATGTTTATGTTGGATAACTTACCTCTAAACACTGAACAATAAATCTGATCCATGTAACAGCATTCTGTGTAAATATTTCTGTAACACATTGTTCTATCAACTTTTCAAGTAAAATTAATCCCTCTGTTCTGTAATACATTTATATATATACTATTGTTAAAGTTTGAATCCATTGTATAAAGTTATGACAACATGCAAAATTATCTGAGTCTTTGTTGAACATTATACATCTTCTACAAGTTCCTTTATGGTGAATTACAAACGTAAAAGACAATTTTGAGTCATCTACACAAGACAGAACAACTACAGTTATTTCTTGGACAATAACAGTTTATCTACTAAGTGTTATTTTATAGAACTATAATGTACCTTTTTAAACAACTCCAATCTTTTTGTTTTAGATGATACAAGATAGAACTGAGTACTTAGATCAGGCTGTTAGTTTTCTTGTTTCAATTGTTTTACATTTGTCATTTCTGGGTTTCTTAGCTTACTATACATATGAGTTTTGCTCATTGTTGAAGACGTACTGTGACCTATGGTTGTTAACTTCTGCCTCATTTGGTCTCTGGTGGAGAGTTGTCTCATTGGCAATCATATCACCATATCTTCTTAATTTATATGGAATAGAATATGCAGATATTCATTTGATATTGAACTTTCAATAGATTATTTTGACTGAATTTTCAATTACAGGTAAAGTAGTAATGGGATTTAAAAAAATATATCCAATTAAAACCATGACATGTGTTATAGTCTCAAACACTCCTTCATGTTCTTATTGTATTGTAACATATATGCGTGACTTGGAAAAATTAAAAAGTCACGATGATGTCAGTACTGTGTTTATCTAGGATTTTATGTAATATATCCTTTCTATTTCTTAATTCTAATTGCTCTATATATCTCATATATTTGTGAGAGATGCACTTTTTTTTGATACAGTAAATCATGTAGATTAGAACAATGTAGAACAGAGGGCTAGTGTTTTGTATATCTTTTAGATTACGCATACCCATAAACTTTTGATAGGTTACCTGATGTAGATCTAGACCTTGGTTAAAGATACATATATATATATAAATTTGTCAAGACATTTCGTAATTAAATAAAATATAAATGACCCACTCACCTTAGTTTAGATGTATTTAGACAGCCATGAATATAACTAATGGTTTCTTGCAGACCATATGTCTTCTGTTATAAAAAAAATTATTGGTCTTAATTAATGTAATTAAAATCAGACAGATTCTGTGAAATTTCAATTCTTCTCCTTGAATGAAGAAATTGAAGGAAGAAATTGAAGGAATTGAATAATTTAAAATGATTGTATATAACATCCTTTTCAAATAACAGAAATTTTTAAATTCCCTTCTGCATGAATGATTAACAGTTAAGGGCACTTCTTATACAAGCTTTTTAAGTCACTCTTATTTTAGTTAGATAGATCAATTGAGGTATAATGACATTTTCTTCAATTTAAATCTATAAATGAAAAATGTGCATGTTATTTCATATACCATTTAAAGCTTTGACAATTGCAAGGACTCATTGGTGATATGAAATAGCTTCTGGCTTCCTGCACAGCATTTTGTAAAAGGGTGGATTATTCCTTAACTGAGATATAATGTTGCCATTTAAATAAATGTTTGCGCCATGACAGCCATTATGATGAAATACAAAATTCAAATATTTTTATCACTGTAGATTGATACCCGATTTCGGATATATTACCCATAAATTGGGATAGTACCCATGGCATTTATGAAGATCTTCCCCAATCTGGTTTAATGGTTATTACTGACCTGAAAAATGAAGAGTCAATCTGCGAAATATACTCCTACCCACTCCCTAGTCCTACTAATTATTCAAGATGTTATAATTATTTGGACTACCCCCTCCCCGGAATATCATCTGGTCGTCCCTTACAGTTCTGGTGATTAAACAGGAGGGGTTACAATTGTTTTACTTTGAATTAAGAAAAATCATTTGTATTATATATCTTACATAGCTACTAATTCGAAATTCATCTTTTTTATTAGCACCTGTCAATGTAATACAAGTGAAACACCCCCCTTTTCTATACACAGATCAAAAGTTCCAAAACGATAGAATCTTTGAAACGATCGTAATTAAATTCAAACCTGGAGACTGAAGAATTTGTTTTCGTCTGTCAACTGTAGAAGACATGTAAAATCGCTAATCTCCTTGGTATTCTTAATAATTTCTGACTTAAAAGCAAAAATCACGTTTTCCATGGGCGCATCCATCTTGAAATATTTAGTGCGGCCCTTTAAAAATGTCAGCGCCCATGTGAAACAAACAAATCTGTTCTTTCTCGTATTTTTTTTATTTGCAGCTTCATTTGCAGATGTTTATGTTATAAGAGACCGATTTGTGCCATTTAAAGCTAGGTATGTTTTTTAACAAACGAGACAGCTACCCAACACAAACATGGGATGTAGATTTATTATTGTGCAAAAATAATTGTTTTTGGATTCAAGGGAAAATATAATTTACAAGTGCAAAAGATTTAATACATAAAAGGCAACAACTTTTGGTTAGCAACTTTTCTGAATACCTGGTTGTGTATGAGTTTGATCCCTTGTAAGAAGTTGTTTTTCAGAGGGGATCAATCGAGCAACTTATTCATCATGTCCATATTCTGAAAAAGTGGCTTACCAAAAGTTGCTATTAAACAATTGCACATTTCAACAGACCTATTTAAACTTCGTGACTTGTATATATGCAAATGTACAGAAGCGTATTAACGCCACACAATGTTTTTTTTTATATTTCTAAATCCTATGTTTGCATTATAACGCAAACCTTTGCGAAATAGCGCAAACAATTCTTCTTCTTCTTCTTCTGGTATACAGTTACAGCTTCATTTATATTGAAGATTACGAACTGTTGCATGCACGGAGTATATGATTAAAATTATATATGAACAAAAATTTATCTTTAAATTTGTAGAATACTTGGTGATATTTACATGAAACAAAGACAACAGTGATTAAAAAAAAAAAAAAAAAAAAAAAAAATATGTACATCATGTACATTGGTATTTATAGAATTAATTTATGTTGTGGAGATTACAGTTGGTGTCAACTGATCTCTATAGGTTTCAATTGTTTGACATGCTACCACAACTTGTGGTAGCATGTCAAACAATTTGCGATGAGTCCATGTATGACTTTGTAGAACATAATTAATCTGGTTTTGAGGCGACGCTCAGTGAGTTAGGGCCATTGTAGTTTGTTTAACATGGATGTAACACTACTGGTGTTGTGGTAGTTGTTACATACATAACGGGCCGCACGCCTCTGTACCATTTCTATCTTATTTTTATATGCTGCTGTGTGTGGATCCCATAAACTACAGGCATATTCAAGTTTTGGTCTCACTATGGATTGGTATGCACGGGATTTGATATTGGTGTTTGATACTTTTAAGTTTCTCCTCAGAAAGCCAAGAGATTTATTTGCATTTGATATGATGTTGTCGTAGTGATTGTTCCATTTTAAGTTAGACTGTAAGGTTACGCCGAGATATTTTGCTGATGTTACTGGTTCTAAAATATGGTTATGCAGAATGTAATCGTGTTTGAATGGTTTCTTTTTCTGTGTGATGGTTAAAATTGTGCATTTTCCTGGATGGAAGGCCATGAGCCAATCAGCCTCGCATTTAGCTGCTGCATTAAGATCTGTTTGTAGTTTTGTGCAGTCTTGTTGACATGTAATTTCTCGGTATATAATGCTATCATCAGTGAAGAGTCGTAATTTGCTGTGTTCAAGGTATTCTGGAAAATCATTAATGTAAATTAAAAAGAGTATAGGCCCAAGGACAGTTCCTTGGGGCAAGCCTGATGTAACTGGTGCTGTATTTGATGTTATTCCATCTATAACCACTGTTTGTGTACGGTCTGATAAGAAAGCCTGAATCCATTTTAGAGTGTTATCTTGAATGCCATAGTATTTAAGTTTGTAGAGTAGACGTTTGTGGGGTACTTTATCGAAGGCTTTGGCAAAATCCATAATAATGAGGTCTGTTTGTATATTTTTGCTGTTGTTGTTATGAAGTTCTTGTATAAATTGAATGAGTTGTGATTCACATGATCTTGATTTTCGGAAACCATGTTGGAGGTCGTAGAGTATGTTGTTTGCCTCCAAATAGTTCATGATGTTACTTGTCACAATATACTCCATCAATTTACATCAAATACAAGTGAGTGAAATTGGTCTATAGTTTTCAGCCTTGTTTCGTTCGCCCTTTTTAAATGCTGGTGCAACAATAGCATGTTTCCAGTCTTTTGGTGTTTTTCCTGATTCCAGAGATTTGGTAAATATGGTGGTAAGTATAGGTGCAATTTGTGCTTTTAGTTCTTTTAAAACCCGTCCACTGATATTATCTGGACCACTTGCTTTGTGTGGATTTAGTTTATGTAACAAACATTTGCTAAATAAAGCAAACATTTTGATTTTAATTATTCATTAAGTTTTGATTATTTTATAATCAAAAACTATTTAATTTACATTTTATGTTTATTATATAATTTGAAGCAGTGTTTTGTAAATATCGGCATTTGCATGTCTGTCTGCCAGTAAAATGATTTAGTTAAGAGAAGGACCATGAATACAAAGCCAAATCATTATAATAGATATACATAGGAATAAGGGAATACTTGTATCGCAATTATACACAAATAATGAAAGATTTTTGTATCAGAAAATTATATAAATTTAACATAAAAATAGACATGGTATAGGAAAGATTTTGAAAATTTTGATTTTCGGGAAGTGGCAAAGTAGAGAAGAGCAAAAGAAAATTCAAACAATTGTGAAACCTTAAAGTCAAATAGACAAAATGATCCTTCGGCTTTAAAATTAATTATTTTGAATAAAAAAAAAAAATTTTGAAATCTCAGAATATGATAAAGATTCTTTGATAAAAAAAATCATGGGGTTTTAAACATTCAGTCTAGTGAGGTAGCTATTTAAGATGTTTGGGTAGCAATTTGAATGTAGAGTACATAATTATAATGATAACAAATCTTCATCTTATACATTTATTTCAATAGGGTTACTGAGCTTGTTCGGATCTAACCAATCTTATACAATGCTCAAACAAGCGCTTACTTTGGAAGTTTATTTAAATTCGGCTACATTAATAGGGTTGATTTTTTATTTTCTTCGGTATAACTTCAATTTGGTCAATTTTCTTTGTAATATATATACACATGTATTCTCCTGCTCATTATTATGCCATGATAAATGCTAAACACTCAAGCATTTTACTTTGCAATATATACAATTGGTGATAAATTTTAATAAATGCAGCCTCCTCCATTTATAACAGCTGCTTCCCTTGAAACTTAAATAAAAAATAAGATAAAACAAAAATTTGCATTTTAACACAAAGGTTATAACACAAACATAGGAAGAAATATAAAAAAAAAATGTGTGGCGCTAATACGCTTCCGTACAAATGTGTCTGCCATTACTTAAAGTCAAACAAGTTCACGAAAATAAGCGTTTCAATTTAAAACCTATTTTAAGAAATTTAAAACTTTTACTTGATAAAATACATAGTAGTACCCAGGGTTACTTGAAAGGATTTTTTTTTTACTTTTTGCACTTCACTACCATAATCATGATAATGATGAAGATGCAAGTACATCTATTATAGGTGAGGGCAGGTTCCGCATTATCAACTTTACAGAAAGATTCCTTTAAACAATTGCATGCTATTTAATCTGGGTACGCTTTTAAGATTGGGGGTTAACTTGGGTACCCTTAACAACTTTTATTTCAACATGAATACTTTTCCTAAAATTAAATGTAACCAGGGTACATTCTTATAGTACGTAGGACAAGTGTTCAGCAGTATTTATATAGTACGTAGGACAAGTGTTCAGCAGTATTTATATAGTACGTAGGACAAGTGTTCAGCAGTATTTATATAGTATGTAGGACAAGTGTTCACCAGTATTTAGGGCTTTTTTGTGCAACATGTTTGCAAGTTATATTTCACTTTATTTTTAGCTGCTTCTATTTGAAGTTGATTATTCACTGTGTTTTGTGCATATTTGTGAAAAGAGCTTTTGTTTTATTTTCCGTTCATATTGTAATATAAAAATAAGAAGATGTGGTATGATTGCCAATGAGACAACTCTCCACCAGAGACCAAATGACATAGAAGTTAACAACTATATGTCACCATACAGCCATCAACAATGAGTTAAACCCATACCGCATAGTCAGCTATAAAAGGCCCCTAAATGACAAATGTAAAACAATTCAAACGATAAAACTAATGGCCATTTTATTTATTGATTGTCTGTGTACATACCACAGGCACTTGTCTCTGAAAAAAATTACCTATATATACTTTAATATAACATTTAAGTATAGGAAAAAAAATTCCGAGACAAGTGCCTGTGGTACATACACCCCTCATCCTTACAACCCTTATTTAAGGGCTACAAGGAGTTGATAATTTGTTTGTCATTTTTATAGATCGTGATGACTGACTCAATTTTGATTAAATACACATGCACAGCAGTACATGTATGTGATCATGGTGATCGTTACAATGTACATGTACATCTGCCAGATTTTAACAAAATGATACAGCCTACAGGTCAGTTGTACAGTGTATGTATAACATACTGTATGTACTTTTTTGCACTGTATTTTCTTTTTCAAATTTCGCTCTACATCATGGTATATATATTTTTGTTAAAATAAATACACAAGATTACAAATTTTTTATGCCTTTTATATATGCATGCAAATCCCTCAAATTAACGTTGATCACCCTAATTTATAACTGTATATATATGTGTGTTTATCTGACATAACTTCAAAGGAAATGTGAAACCATAAAAATTCATTAAGGATAAAAGGTCAAACTTAACAAATAATGACCCAAACCAAGCGAATGTGACTACATCTTTATTGTGTTATTATCAACCTTATTCACAGGACAATACATCTTTATAGTTAGCAGATGACTGTTTTAACCATTGAATAATCATTGTTATACAAGTATAATAAGCTTAAGTACAAGAACAGTATCTACTGTATAAACAAAAAATATTTGAAACATTTTATTTGATAGACCACAATATATAGTGTAGATTTGTATAATGTATATATTTATTTAAATTAGATTTGTTGCTAACCATTGCTAACTGTGCTACCCACTTAGAAATAAAGTATTTACCTACTTGCTGTTGATTACGTTACATTTAAACAACAATGTGTAAAGAAATGATTGAATGTTATAATTTCCATGTATGAATATGCTGCTGTTTATATTTATGATCAATTTAGACTGACTCCCTGGCACCATCTTCAGTGCTTATATTTATTTTTTTGCAGATATAATTGCAGATGATAATGATGGATGAGTCAGCAAATACCCAGGATTTATTACAGGAAATGGACGACATTACTGGAAATGGATCACATGTCAGTTTCACAGAAATGGACAATACACAACAGATTGTAAACAATATCGATGAAGTAATTGCTCAACAGGCATCAGAAAACACCTTTAAAACCAATGAAATTCCACATAATGTCGCATCATATCAAAGAACTGGAAACACTTCATCACAGCCCACTTGTCAACAGACTCAGGATTCCTTGGAAAACATGTCAGAAAAAATTGATGTGATTCAAAATGTAGAAATACAATCTCTAAATCCTAATAAATCATTGCAATGCAACACACAAGAGGAAGACCCCAATTTGAGCTTAATTATATCACAATCACAAAACTTAGAACAATTAAGTGATTCTAACATGTCTAAAGAATCTTTAGTTTTGAATGATATCCCAGTACAAAGTAACAAAGACATTCATACAGAAGATAGTGAGACTGGTAACTGTGAGCCGCCTAGCAAAAAACTTAAACCAGAACACAAAGATGAACAAACCAAACCAGTTTTTCAGTTTGTTCCAAGAAATGTTACTCACAATAAAAATAGTTCAAGTGTAAAAACAAATTTGCTGTTGGTTTCCAAAAAACAATTAGATCCTCAAAGTATTTTAAAGACATTTGATTCAGGACAAACATGTAGTTCACAGCAGATACCAAAGGGAGATAATTCAAAGGAACCAATGTACCTTCAAGATGAATATAGACACTCAAGCGAGAGAGATAAATCATGCCTAGCTGACAGTGATACCACATCTTTCCTTGACAAATCTTATGATGCAAATGTAATGTTACCTGCAGATATCGTAAAAACTTGGAGGACTTCTAGAGAGATACAAGAGGGGGAAATTATTGAGGTTGAGAGGTAAAACTCTTTATTCCATTTTCCCCTTAATTGCAATTAGCAACAATTCCTTTCAAAAGCTGATCAATTTGAATATGCACATGACTGGCCAAATAAAATTTTTAATGTTTGAAACAATAAAATAATTTCAGGTATTTTGTGTAAATACTAAAAAACTGAAAAATCATCCCAGGATTGCAGAACTTTTGATAAAAAAAAGTTAACAACTTCGCCGTCTTATTTTTGTTGTTTAAAGGAATAACGATAATCTGCTTATATTTCCACCATTATGCTTTTGTTGTTTAAAGGAATAATGATAATCTGCTTGCATATCCACCAGTATGTTTTTGTTTATCATTGTTTTCTCAGAAAGCTAATTTATGTTTTACATATCTGTTTTTGTTTGTTGTTTTTAGGGATATCAATTGTCTGTTTGTTGTTGTTTTTAGGGATATCAATTGTCTGTTTGTTGTTGTTTCCAGGGATATCAATTATCTGTTTGTTGTTGTTTTAGGGATATAAATTGTCTGTTGTTGTTTTTAGGGATATCAATTGTCTGTTTGTTTTTCAGGAATACCGATAGTGTGTTTACATCCCAACCAACATGTTTTGCCAGGATAATTGATGATTTTAAGAAGACTGAAGATAATTATCTTAGAGGGTGTAAATGGTGAGTTTCACTGTGTTAACCTGCACTAATAAATGGTCAGTAGGATTGATATGATTCTGATAGGTTCAGACTTCATACCACTAGTAGAATGTTGTAAAATTAAACCTGCAGTTATTGATTGTACGGATCATCAAAGTGTTTTTTATGAAATTTAGAACTGGTGCATCAGAAAAGGGAAGGGGGTACTGGAAAATAAATAATTCTATATTAGAAGATAATGACTACATACAATTAGTTAATAAAGAAATGAAAAGCTGCTTTATGAGTAATCGTAATTTAAAAAACCTTGGTTTAGCATGGGATATATTTAAAATAAAGGTAAGGGAGGCAACTATAGCTTATTGTAAATCTAAAGCAAAATTTACAAGAGAAAACTTACGAACTCTTGAAAAAAAATTAGAAATAAAATTGAAAATTAGAGATGAGCAAGAATCTGAGAATAATTATTTAGATAAAGATATTGAAGAACTTGAAAATAATATTGCCAAAATTTACGAACAAAAGGCTAAAGGGGCTCAAATAAGATCACGAGAGAAATGGTTTGAATTTGGGGAAAAAAATAACTCGTACTTTTTAGGTTTAGAAAAACAGAGACAGGTAAAAAAGTCAATCAATAAATTAAAAGGGGAAAATGATGAGATTTTAACGGATCAAAGTGATATACTATGTAGTATTAAAGAATACTATAAAAAGTTATACTCGACGCAAAGCCCTGATAAAACATCAAGCGATAAATATATATTTGAGACAAAACTCTAGAAAGAAATGGATAAAAGTGATAAATCACTCTGCGATGGGGATATTACAGTAGAAGAATGCTCAGATGCTATTTATAAAATGAAACTTAATAAATCCCCTGGATTAGACGGTTTAACAGTTGAATTTTATAGAAAATTTTGGGATAAATTAAAGTTCATAGTAGTAAACATTCTTAATATTGGATATAAAGATCAAACACTTACATACTCACAGCGTACAAGTGTATTAACGCTATTATTTAAAAAAGGTGATCCATTGTCACTAAATAATTACCGTCTTATTTCTCTTTTAAATATTGACATGAAACTTCTATCATACACTCTAGCACAACGATTGAAAAAAATCTTACCAAAACTTATTAAAGAAGACCAGACTGGATATGTAAAGAATAGATTTATTGGTTTTAATCTTCGACAGATACAAGATATTATTGATTTCACTGATTTATACAAAATTGAAGGGGCTATAGTCTTTGTAGATTTTTCTAAAGTGTTTGACTCTCTAGAATGGAATTTTATGTTTTCAGTTTTAAAACATTTTGGATTTAATGATTCTTTTATCAGATGGGTTAAGACTTTATATAGTGATATTCAAACATGTGTTATGAATAATGGTTGGATATCTGATGTCTTTAAAAACACCAGGGGTATACGCCAAGGATGTCCTTTATCTGCATTATTATTTGTTTTATCTGTGGAAATTATGGCTTCAAGATTAAGAAGCAATACTGATTTTAAAGGTATCAGAATCAAATTAGATTGCAAAAATCATAGTATAAAAATTTCGCAACTAGCAGATGATACTACTTTATTTTGTTGTTCTAAATATGATGTTCAAGTTGCTATGAACGAAATTGAAATTTTTGGTTCTTATTCAGGATTGAAATTAAACAGAAATAAAACAGAGGGGTTATGGGTAGGAAAGCTTAAATCATGTAAAGACAAAATTGAGGGAATCAACTGGAGCAATGGACCAGTTAAAACTCTTGGTATATACTTTGGGCATTGTAGAGAGGAATGTGAAAAACTAAATTGGGAAAATAAAATTGAAAAGATGAATAAATTATTTTGTGCTTGGCAAAAAAGAAATCTTACTATTTTTGGAAAAATTTTGATTATCAAAACACTAATTGTGCCCATTTTTACTTTTGTGGGATCTGCCTGCATAGTTCCAGAGAAATATTTAAAAGAAATAGAAAAAAGTTGTTTTAAATTTGTTTGGGATAATAAACCAGATAAAGTAAAAAGAAATTCAATTATTGGTCCCTATAAAAAGGGGGGATTGGATATGATAGATATAAGGAGTTATTTCACTGCTTTAAAAGCTATGTGGGTAAAAAGACTAGTAAATGATTGTGAAGGAGGTTGGAAAATTATACCTCAGCACTATTTTAATAATTTTGGGTCAAACTGGTTAGTGTTTCAAACAAACAGTGCGGATAAGCCAGACGAAAGCATTGAACACATCCCAGATTTTTATAAAGATATCATTAAATGTTGGAAATTAACTGGTGGAGGTCTAACAAAAAAACCAGAAACTTTTACAGATATAAGAAAACAAATATTATGGAACAATAAATTTATTAAATTTGAAAATAAAGCTATATTTTTAAAAAATTGGATTAAAAGCGATCTTATTTATGTAAATGAATTCATAGATGAAAAAGGCTGTATTTCTCAAGACATAATTTTAAATAAACTAAAAAATAAATCAAACTGGATAGCTGAAATTAATTTAGTAAAGAAATCAATACCAAAAGACTGGGCAGCAATTTTAAAATCGGAAAATTCTGTAAAAAGTATTGTTAATATAAAAAGAAACCAATTTATATTGGAAGGTTTACCTATAAAATTAGAATCACTAACAAATAAACTTTTATATAAGTCTCTGATAAATAAAAAATTTGAACCAGCTATCGGACCAAAAAAATGGCTGCGTATATTTGATATAGATGATGTGTTATATCAAAACAATTTATATAAATTTTTATTCAGATATTTAAGAGAAAATAAACTTAGAATTTTTAGATCGAAATTACTACAACATATTCTACCTACTAAGAAACTTTTATGCAGGTGGAAAATTGTAAACAATAGTTCTTGTAATTTTTGTACACAAGAAGAGGATTATGTTCACTACTTTATACTGTGTCCATATTTAAAACTTTTTTGGAATAGAATAAATGAAGTTTTAAAGAACAGTAAAATAACTTTTAAGATAAAACTAAGACACTTGGTATTTGGATATAAAACTTTTGACGAAGAATATTTTGACTTTAACTATTTTTTAACGATTGTTGGCTTTTCAATTTACAAAGCCTATTACATATCTGATCAAAAGACAAAAAATGTCAATGTTTTCTTAATTTTTCTCAATGAGTTCAATAGAAGAGTATGTTTGAAAATTAAAAGTAATATTTTAGCAACTATTAGAAAACATATGAATAGTCATATTAAGTGATATTATTTAATATATATTTGATGTACAAATGTAATATGTATTTTAAAACTAATCACTACCCTGAGTGATTAGTGGATTGTAACAGGGAACATCAAGAGGAGCTTGGACTCCTGAAGGATATTGTAACAAGCCAATATTTGAAATAAATATTTAATTATGTTAAAAAAAAAAAAAAAAATGGTCAGTAAATTCTTCACCCTACACAAACAAACTTAAAATGATGTTAATATTTAAGTATTAGGCATGTATGGAGAGCATGAACTTTATCGTGATTAAAATTATGTTAAGACTTAAGTCATAGGCATGTAAGGAGAGCATGAACTTTATCATGATTAAAATGATGTTAAGATTTAAGTCATAGGCATGTATGGAGAGCATGAACTTTATCAGGAGTAAAATGATGTTAAGATTTAAGTCATAGGCATGTATGAAGAGCATGAACTTTATCATGATTATAAAGATAAAAAAAATATATACCAGGGGTATGTGAGATTAAATTGTGAAAATAAGAAATTGACAATTGTCATGATTGTATAAAGGGGAAGCTTGACTTTCCCAAATAGGAATATGAAAATGCATGATCGGTTTGAAAACTTTAAGTGAAGAGATCTTTTAATTGATATATGAACATGGTAAATGTAGTATCACTAGGTGGACAGCTGAGTCATGGCAGTAGTATATTGACAGGAGCTACAAATATAAATGAATATAAGTTCCAAATATTTTCTGTATTGTTGATAAGTGATTGAAGACAATACATGTTGTGTTATATTATGTGAAGCTACATAAAATGTTCATTGGCAGTTTTATCACAGTCATGCCGATGGCAGTATTAATGTATTCTTAGATATATTGAAATCTAAGATTTAAAGATTGAAAAAGTTGTACATAACACTTGTCTTCCATAAACTAGTCTTTATTTTATAATTGATAGGTCTCCGGACGGGAAATGTTTACTAACTAATAGTAACGACAACAAACTACGTGTATATCACTATCCTACAGCTAATACACAATCAGAATTGGTAAGAACATGTGTATTATAATCCAACAGATAACACATAATCGAAGTTGGTAAGAATATTTGCCTTGTAATCTGATATCACCAAATCTGACACAATCAAACAGAAATATGATAATCTGACACAATCCGACTGATATCACAATAATAAGACACAATCCAACTGATAATCACAATAATAAGACACAATCCAACTGATATCACAATAATAAGACACAATCCAACTGATAATCACAATAATAAGACACAATCCAACTGATATCACAATAATAAGACACAATCCAACTGATATCACAATAATAAGACACAATCCAACTGATATCACAATAATAAGACACAATCCGACTGATATCACAATAATAAGACACAATCCAACTGATATCACAATAATAAGACACAATCTAACTGATATCACAACAATAAGACACAATCCAACTGATATCATAATAATAAGACACAATCCAACTGATATCACAATATCACAATCTCTGACACAATCTAACAGAAATATGATAATCTGACTAATCTAACTGATATCACAATAATAAGACACAATCCAACTAATATCACAATAATAAGACACAATCCAACTGATATCACAACAATAAGACACAATCCAACTGATATCATAATAATAAGACACAATCTAACTGATATCACAGTAAATCTAACTGATATCACATAATCTGACTAATCTAACTGATATCACAATAAATCTAACTGATATCACAATAATAAGACACACTCTAACTGATATCACAACAATAAGACACAATCTAACTGATATCACAACAATAAGACACTAACTGTTATCACAATAATCTGACACAATCCAACTGATATCACAATAATAAGACACAATCCAACTGATATCACAATAATAAGACACAATCCGACTAATATCACAAAAATAAGACACAATCCAACTGATATCACATAATCTGACACAATCCAACTAATATCACAAAAATAAGACACAATCCAACTGATATCACAATAATAAGACACAATCTAACTGATATCACAATAATAAGACACAATCCAACTGATATCACAATAATAAGACACAATCTAACTGATATCACATAATCTGACACAATCTAACTGATATCACAATAATAAGACACAATCCAACTGATATCACAATAATAAGACACAATCTAACTGATATCACAATAATAAGACACAATCCAACTGATATCACAATAATAAGACACAATCTAACTGATATCACAATAATAAGACACAATCCAACTGATATCACAATAATAAGACACAATCTAACTGATATCACAATAATAAGACAATATCAAACTCATATCGCATAATCTGATACAATCCAACTGATATCATTAATCTAAGTCTGAAGAATATTCTTAAGCTGTGCTGATTCATGTTATTACAATATGATTACAGAACAGAAATTAATAAAAGTATATGAAACACTTCAAAATGAAATATGAAAATGAGGTAGAAGGAAATAACATCGTTTTCTAGCCTTTTGTTTATGATTGTTGAAGTTTAGTGGAAGCAAATGTGTAATACTTATAAAAAGTAATATCTTTATTACTTAAAAAAGTCAATGAGGAATCTATTCCAAGGTGTTATGTGTTGTGAACTTTGGACTCTGTCATGTCTGTGTCCTTTTCTCTTCTACAAGGAACATTAGAAAAAAGGTATAAATAACTACAATGTAATGAAATGTACATTTTAGAAATCTTGTGTTACTGTTAAAGAGACTGATACAGTGTATGACTTCTGCTGGTACAGAAAAATGTCATTAGAAGACCCTGATACATGCTGGTAAGTATAAAAACATGCTGTCTGCAGATCCTGATTACCGGTACAAGAGCCCAATTATTTGTAAAGCATTTTCCATAGGGTACCAGTGGTGTTCCATATTTCATTTCTTGAAGAATACCCAAACTTCTGAAGCATATTCCTGATATTATTGATACTTGTTGACTTTTTGATCCAAGGGGACAGAAAAGTAATCTAATCATGCCTTCTCCTTTTGGTAATTTAAATTTTATTTAAGTGGAGCAGTATTCTCTCTTACAGGGGACAAACAAATATAGGAACAAAATGAAATTTTACTTGTAAATGTATAAAACAATGTTTAGCAGTAAGGCAAGGCCTCCAATAATTAATCAGTCATTCAAACAATGGAGAATTATTGCTTTCAGTTTTCTCACAACTTGTAGAGATGGTCCAGTACATATGTGGGATATGGCCAGTGGTCATTTGAAGTGTTCATACAGACCTTATAATCATTTGGTAAGTATGATAAACATTCTTCTATTTCCCTACAGCTATTGTAAATTCAGAAATTATTGTTTTCATTTATTATTGCAATTTTTGAGGAATGAACAAAAATGCTAGTTTAATTATTGTGATTTTAGGAAAATAAAGCCTGTCATTATAAATTTTGATTTAATGATGATTTTTAGTTCCATTCAAAAGTTTAATTGTGAAAAAAAAGAAGATTAAAGAAAACATTACTTATGTGACAACAACCCAAAAACTAATATTAAAATAAAATAAGATGGCTACAAAGAAAAGTTTACGAGTGTAGTAAACATGACATTTTTGATTACAGAAATGTTTCTTTAAGTAATAAATACTGATGATCAGTGTGTGATGTTGAACATTTAATACATCCTTCATTCATAAAAATCAGCATGTATTGTTGCTTTAAAGAAACTAAACCATTTGATTGTATTTGTTTATCTCTCTCAAAATTATTTCAGTCACAAATGAACATATTGTTTTAAAAAGATGATCAAACAAAATGAAATGCTGTTTGCTTTTTTTCTACTATTTATTTGACCAATCCCAACCAGAATTTTGTGCTTTGACATTAATGACATAAGGCCTAGGACTGATCAGTGATAAGTCAAGTGTTCAAACTTAAAGGTAGAGCTGCTATAGCATTATGATATTGTTTTTACTAGTGAACAGTGTTTTTCCTTTCACATTTTTAGAAATTTCTCCATTTAATTATTTGATGTTTTTTATTTCAATTTACCCCTTTGAAAGTATTTTACAGTGTCTACATATTAACAGTATTGTTTACTATCAGGATGAAATAGCAACAGCTCACAGTCTGGCATTAAGTTTAGATGGTGGAAAGTTATACACTGGATTTAACAGAATGATTCGTGTATTTGATGTGTCAAGACCTGGAAGACATTGTATACAACGACCTACATTTGGTAGGTATGATACACCACATTGGAAAAAAATCCCTATGTTTTTTATAAAAAATATGTTTATCAAATGATTTGAAACACATGGAAAACATGTTTTGAAATGTAACTTTTTAATCTGTTACACAAATAATATAAAAAATGTGTCATATGATTTAAGAAATATATAAAAAACATAGGTTGCAATTTTTCCTGGGTAGAAAAAGGTTTCTATTAAGTTTTTGTATAGTACTGTCCAAAAAGTGTATGTTGTAACATTTAAAACCATTCCACTGAAAGGTGCAAGTCCAAATGCTGCCAGAAACAATATTTTTGCAAGTATTGATATGATACTTAATATGAATATAAGAAGAAGAAAACTTCAACGGATTCAATGAGACAGCAACCTAAAATAAAATAAAGGATATATTGGCTAATCTGTTGTCTTTAGATATATTTATAATTTTTTTTTTGTCCATTAGGGACTCTTACCTTGATGGCATACCTTCTTTGTTAAAATTCTCAATTTCGGTAGTTTAAGGCTGATTGAGAGCTAGATATATTGTACATACACATAGTGCAGTTATTTAACAATGGTGGGGATCATTTGACGATGGCATCATAAAACAGGTCATGGAGATCCCTGTACACTGTGGAATGATGAAGACCATGTGCTAACCTCCTGTCTTTTGGTTTTTTGTGTCATTGGGTTATTATATTGTCTTATCTCTTTTTATCCATATTTTTATGTCCCCGCCGTAGCGGAGGGGGCATTAAGTTTTACCCTTGTCCGTCTATACGTCCGTACGTACGTCCCAAAGTTGGTTTCCATTCTTTAACTTTAGTTTGCCTCAACCAAATATTATGAAACTTATACACAATGCTTATTATTAAAACACAGATCAAGTTTGAATTTTTTGTTTATAGTTTTGTACATAAATCAGGCCGTTGTATTTTACATTTGAATTTTTTTTAAACATCATTTTGGGCCCTTTGCAGCTTGCTATGCTGTGTGGGCTTTTGCTCCGTGTTGAAGCCGTAGGGTGAACTATAATTGCTATTAACTTCTGGTGGAGAGTTGTCATATTGGCAATCTTACCACATCTTATTTTTATATGGCAAAAAACGGTCTGTTTAAACAATTTTATTTTATCAATAACGTGTGATTATTGACAACATCACATATGTGCATTGCTTGAATTTTCTTCTAATTAGTCCCCTACCGACGAAGTTGAAGGGGACTTTAGGTTTGCACTTCGTCTGTCTGTCTGTCTGTCTGTCTGTCCGGACTCCGTCCGTCCGTCTGTCTGTCTGTCCATCTGTCAGTCCGGCAAATCAGTTTTCCAGACTTTTTTCTTTGTGCTTGAAGATATTGATTTGATATTTGGTTTATTGATTTATCATGACAAGTTACAGGTCAAGTTCAATTTTTACGATTTTAGCTTTTCTCTTTGTTCAGTTAAAGCCCTTTCCCTAGAATTAAATTTTTGATGAAATACTTATTAATTAGTAGATTTCTGTTCAAAGGGAAATAACTCATTCTTTAAAAGACAAAATGCCATTTTGGATTTTTTTCCTTTTCTTTGGTAAATTGTTTGAAGAATTTAGTGGTAGGTTTGTTTGTCATTCTTGAAGATATTGATTTGATAATTAGTATATTTTTATCATGACAAGTTACAGATCAAGTTGGAATTTTGTTCCAGTCTGATAATTTGTGCAGAGTTATGGTCTTTGGACATAGAAAATTCACTTAAATAATCAGTTTTCAACAGATTTTTTCATCATGCTTAAAGATTTTGACTTGATATTTTTATGTTTATTTTACACCATGACAAGTTATAGATCAAGTTAGAATTTCGTTCCATTACAATGAATTTGTAACTGGTAGGGGTCTGTGTATTGCCATGCAATACTCACAGAATGCTTGTTTCCATATAGAACTTATCATGCTTATGTGTAACTTTTACACTATTTTTTTGAAAAAGAATGACTATGTTTATATAACAAGTAGAAAAGGATGGGATATATATTTAAATTTGGATTTTTTAATGATTTATTTTAGATTATTTATGGAACTCAGACTATAGCTTCCATTCTATACAATAGTGAAATACATCAGTATACAATCCTATGTACATGTTTTGAATGAAGCACCTGACATGGTCAGGAAACATGTGTCCTACTTTATATTTCAGTAAAACACCAAGGACAGCCAGGGATTATATCATGTATTGCAGCTAGTCCACAAGGTGGTGGTATATATGCTGCAGGGTCTTATGCCAGAGCTAGTAAGTAGATTAAATATTCTGTGTATTATGTGAGACCAAAAGGATTCTGTTAAAAAAAAGTTCACTCAGTCAAGAAATGATCTATTTAAAATATGTCTCAATTGATATGAAATAAGGTATACAAGATTGGACATGTTTTTACATTGAATTAATAATGAAATAAGTTCTATGCTCTGAATATGCAATGAAATGTTTGACAATTAATGTTAAGAAATAGAAATTAATCAATCAGACATGTCTTCTAAATATTGATAATTTCAAAGATCAGGGGGCATTAAGTGTTACCCTTAACCGTCCATCTGTCACATTTTTGTTTCCACACTCTAACTTTAGTTTTCCCATCCAAATAGAATGAAACTAATTCACAATGCTAAGAACCAAAACTTGCAAACAGAGTTAGAATTTGGGTAGTCAGTTACTTACCGTTCTAAGAGTTATGCCCCATTATAACTTGAAATTGCAAATGTTTTTGTTTCTGCACTCTTACTTAAGTTTGCCTAATGCAAATTTTATTGAACTAATTCACAATACTGAGAATCAAAACTTGCAGATAGAGTACATATTTGGTCAGTGAGTCACTTACCGTTCTAGAGTAATGCCCCTAAATAACTTGACAAATTGCAAATTTTTTCTTGGAAGATTGAAAATTTTTCAATTTTGCACTCTAACTTAAGTTTGCCTCATTTAAAGTTTATGGCACTCATACACAATGATAAGAAAAAAAACATGCAGACAGAGTTAAAATTTGGGCAGTGAGTCACTTACCGTTCTAGAGTTATGTCCCTTTATAACTTGGCAAATTGTTATTTTTTTCCTTTCAGCACTCTAACTTAAGTTTGCCTCATGCAAAGTTTATTAACCAATTTCAATAAAACTTGGCATGATCTAAGATTAGGGAATTATAAGACAGTATACCAAGTTTCATGGCAATAGAATATATATTAAAGACCATATAGTCATTATTATATTTGAACTTTGGGTGTTTATTTTTTACGCTTAAATCGAACAATTTCATCTATCAAGATTTGGGCCTACAAAATTTAAATATTGCAAAAAATTGCTTTTTAAATGCCTTTATATAGTGTAGCATGTATTTAAAGCAGCTGAACACTCATTTAATGTATCATATTTAATACAGTTCTTCGAAATTCAAATTTATATGAGCCTATGTCTGAAAATCAGAGATTTTCCAATGAAGGGGGGGGGGGGCTTATATAAAATTGTAATTTTGTTCATCAAATTCAAATTTGTGAAGTAATTTTGCTATAAATAATCCTTTCATATATATTTAATGTACTTAAACTGGAAAGAAAAGTTACAAATAGCATACCACATGAGTATAAAATGGTCCTAGGCCATGTTAAACTAAAAAAATAATTTAGGATCAGTTTAGGCCAAAACACATATTTACATATAAAAATGGATACAGAAGCTATAGACAATAGAAATGTGTTTCTTTTTGGTCATTTCTATGCTAAGGTGACATGATACAAGAAGTCTGAGGGCTATAAGACTCTTGCATTCCACGTTTTGTGCAGACAGTAAAGTCTGATGCAAAGATTTTTCACTTTTCATTGGAAAACTTGCGTGTAATTTTAGTCTCAACAGGCATACATTTGAACCACTTACTATCCTACAGAAGAAAAAAAAGGTCTCTTATGAAAGGAAACAGGTACAACAATCATTGCAAAGTGCTTTTAATACAGATTTAGTGTACTCTTTATGATGAACTTCAACTTTTATGTACATAACTCCTTACATTTCACTTCCTTCAAACAGGCCGTTAGACTAGGACCATAAATACAACACATTTTGCACATTTTTTCTGTGATAATCTACTTTTCTCTAGATACAGGGTTCACAAATGATTATAGAAACTTGAATTAAGCCTAGAAACACAAATATCAAAACATGAAAACCTGTCAGATAGAAATTCAGCTTGCCCCTCTGGCATAAAACTGGAAATGGCTTTAAAATAATTATTTCAGCTATATAATGCTAAAATTGGACATTTTTACCGAATTTCTTTAAAATAAAGATAAAAATCCTTTACTTTCATTCAGTTTGACAAGTTGATACCCTCAAATCATTCAGGGAAGTTGCCAAAGTACAGAATCTACATTTACTGAATTCATCTCTTAGACCCGAGAACACAGTTATTTCGTAGTGCATTTCTTTTAGACTAAAAACGCAAATTTAAAAAATCGCACCTGCTCTATCCAAAAAAGATTTTTCCAGTGTAGTGTACTACTTTCGGGACATCAAAATTATAGAAAAGTCTATCGGCTCTAATTCAAAATATGGACAATTTTATGTTAAGGGGGTCTGTAATTCAGTTTGACAGCTTCAGACATATTAATTTTTGACCTTTTCAAACTGGACCAAATCACTACTTTACCTAAAAATTCATGCCCGAAATTTATTTTACATGTAATTTCATCCCACTACTTACTATTTTTTGCATGAAATATAAAGAAATAGATTTGGAAGGTATATGAAAAAAATAGGCAAGTTATACACTGTCCACACTAGGGACTCTATTTGTAGACAACGAAAATCAAAGGACGATAACTGTGTCCCCAGACCATATGATAAATGCATAGACTTTACAAGTATCACTCCAAACATTGAATCACTGACATGCCAGATAATGTTCCCTTTACACAAACACAGTCTTGTATATACATGATATATGTAACCCATCTCTGTCGTGAAATTATATTTTCTGTCTTGACTCTCTTGCCATCCAGGCATAATTTTGAGTGCCTTAACCTTGATATTTCAGATAAAGTAAATACTTCTGAAGACATGCTCAAGCCTTGTATATAGTTGAACTGAAATTGTGTAATTTTATTTAATGATAAATCCACCAAAATTACATCACTGTAATTTGGTTTGAACATTGAAGTTAGCATTTATATATACCTAAGTAAACCTAAGTACATGGTAAAATCCATAGTAATACATCCACTAGTACAAATATAGGACTTTTCATTATCCAGCCGTACTTTGAATCACTATCTGAAGCAAGTTTACATCCTTCTAAAGTTACCAGACTTACATACATACCAAAAATATGGTAGTATCAGGTTTTCTCAGAGTTGGACATTGACAATCACAAACAATAATTGGTGACCTGGCATGGTCATTTCTTGGAGTCATACTTGGAATTCTTAACTTTTTTGCACAGAGTAATTTTTTGAAGAATAATGATTTTTTTTGGAAAGAGTGGACACTTCTAGATGCATGATATATCTCAATTTTTGGAGATGAATTCGCACCAAGCCATCATGATAAACTTTTAAACTTTTAAACTCGAGATGTCAATAACCACAAATAGTGAAAAACCAAAATTGACCCTAAATATTCAATTGCACTTTGTTGAGTATAAATAGCAGTCTTCACGCTGAGTGGCAGCCCAGGCAGCCCAGGCTTGTAAAATTGCTCTTGGGCCTGTAAAAATCATATCTACAAGCCAACAGAATCTAACTAAAAATTTTCAAAAATTGAGCTCCGGGCCTGCAGATTTAGCAGTTCATCGTGAAGACTGAAATAGAAAACAATTTGTTACTCTATAAAGTCAATTCTAAGTTGCTCTGTAAACCGGTAAAATTTTGATTTAAAAGGTATTAGTGCATTAATATACTCGTGCAATGATATGTTCTTTGGAAATCCAATGTAGCATTACCATTTCCATGCCATAATAATTGAAAACTGTCTAAATATCTGATATTATTAGCCTTTCCTGATTATAATCAATCTGGACAATATAATCAGAAAACATGTAGGTTACTGCCTTTACAGCACATTCACGCTTTGATTTTTTCAGTTGCTCTTTACCATGAACCAGAAGGAAATATGGTGTGCATGTTTCAGGGCCAACAAGGGGGTGTAACTCATATAGCCTTCTCACCTGATGGTACAAAGTTATATAGTGGCGGAAGAAAGGTAAAGGGAGCTTATGCTAAATGTTGAATGACCTAACAATAGAAAAAATGAAAGTCTTATTATGTCAGTCTGTGATTTCCTCTTTATTTTTTTCTAAAATGAAAGAAGAATTAGTTTGTCAAAAACATGTTTGGTCTCAAAATACAAATGTATGAAGTTTATACAGACAGAACATACAAAATACACAATTATTGAAAACATCAATGTATTCATAAATTAACTTTCATCATCATATCACTGACTATGTGAGGCCCTCATGAGAAGTCGAGGTCATTGAAATAAGTAATTGAGTAACTACCAATGAAGTATGTGACATTGTAACATCTGTAATTTAAACAATGGTCTAAGGGAAAGAAGCATTTTACTCCACTGAAATCAGTTTTCTATATATATTACAGTTGCAATCATGCAAGTTTACCAGATGGTCAAGCTTCTTACAATTAGACTTTAACACCTGAGTATTCTGTACTCTGTTAGAGTATTTCCCTTTCACCAGTTTGAAAGTTTGAAGGCAATCCAATGTAAGATCAATTTTTTTCACAAGTGAGTGGACGATGTTTTCATGATTTGGTGTTTTCTTAGAAATAGAAAATACATTTTTCATGGCCTAATCTCTACAGCAATACACCTTTAATGAAAAAGAAAGTTTATGTTTTTTTTAATAATTTCAGGATCCTGAAATTCTGTGTTGGGATCTGAGAAAACCAGGACAGATTTTATTTGTGGCTTTAAGATTGTGTGAGACCAATCAGAGACTTTATTTTGACCAAGATACGTAAGTTATAATTTAATAGCATATTTTAAAACTAATCAGGTACAATATGTGTATGTGATACCATGTTAAGCCTGAGATAAGAAACATTTCCTTAATCTTATCTCATCTTTTACTTATGCTTGTTAGATATTTTTATGCTATTCTGTGAGCATATATAGTAAAGACTCTCATTAATTTTAAACCTGTATCAATGCTTCAAGCCTTCCAGTCCAGCTAATCCCAATAAACAACAAACATGATTTTGAGGAAAGGTTGATTTACTTCAGTTCCTGTGCCCCTCACTTAGACAAATATGTTTAGATCTGCTTTTCAAAATTTATTCACAGCTTGGTTTCATATTTTTAACCTTCTCTTGTTTTTCCTTCAGCTGTTCAGAAGCTCACCAATGAAAAACTTTAGTGTTTTTTAAAAGTATTTCATTTGATGGAAACCAATCTTTAAAATTGACTGGTCCAATTGTCTAGACAGTCAAAACATCCAGGAGTTGTAAAATTGACTGGTTCAATTGTCTAGACAGTCAAGACATTGAGGAGTTGTAAAATTGACTGGTTCAATTGTCTAGACAGTCAAAACATTGATGAGTTGTAAAATTGACTGGTCCAATTGTCTAGACAGTTAAAACATTGATGAGTTGTAAAATTGACTGGTCCAATTGTCTAGACAATCAAAACATTGATGAGTTGTAAAATTGACTGGTTCAATTGTCTAGACAGTCAAAACATGGAGGAGTTGTAAAATTGACTGGTCCAATTGTCTAGACAGTCAAAACATCCATGAGTTGTAAAATTGACTGGTCCAATTGTCTAGACAGTCAAAACATTGATGAGTTGTAAAATTGACTGGTCCAATTGTCTAGACAGTCAAAACATCAAGGAGTTTGTAAAATTGACTGGTCCAATTGTCTAGACAGTCAATACATCAATGAGTTGTAAAATTGAGTTTCAGTTGTGAGACTGGCTAATGTGTATTTTTTTGTCAGCACAGATTTTAAACTGTTGGATATTTATATCCTTGTTCATTTGGTTGCATATAAACAATGGTAACAATTAATTGAGCTACATACAAAAACTTCTGACATGATCCCTCAAATGCTGATTCACATATAAAAAGTATTACTCACTGTCAACCTATTTCAACATTTGATGATGATGAAGATTTTTTTGGGTAAAGATTGCAATTATGCCATCAAAACCTTGTGTGACCGGCAAGATAGTTATCAATGTTACTGATTTTATCACAACTTTTGAATTACACAAAACATAGTGCATTGAGCACAACACATTCTATACATCTTACCTATGAAAATTTCAAGAAATTTATCAATGAATTATATACCAAGATATTCAAGTTACAAAATGATGTGTATGTGTCTTACCATAGTTGTCAAGAAAATTACATAAATTGTGCATGGTGCAAAAATCTAGTATATGTTCTAAAAATATCAATTATGATGTTTTGAAATGTCCATTTTATGTTATATTTAAAATTGGAGTTATCTTCCTTTTTAGTTGAAACAAGTACAATTATGTCTCCAATTCATAGTATTGCCATCCAATGCCTTATACAATGCAATGTTTAATTTTTAGTTTCCACTGCAAAATGAATGCAATTTTTACCCTTCAGTGCTCACTTGTAACACTTTGTTTATATGATGGAAAACCTGCAATAAACTACCTTGGATTAAAGTGGAGGCTACGTTCAAATTTTAACAAAAAATTTATTTTTGTGTTATACCTTTATAATTTAATTTTGGATGTCTTCTGATTGGCTGACGTTGTTTTGTTTATCAGCTCATAGACATAATTTTGTCATGTGACCATGACGTCATCAACGTTTTTTCATGGTTTACTCAGCTTTAAAATGGAATTTAGAATTATACCCTTTATATTCCTATAATTAATAATAACATGAAAATTAATTTCTCGTAGAATTGGTTGTCCAATTTAGACAGAGAAACTTAATAGTAACCTACAATAGAGAGCCTGTACAAATCACACATTAGTAAATTTAATCTAAAGATGAGTCTACCTTAAGAATTATAACTCTGAATAACTTGATAGTATACATACATGTCAGGCTAGTGATAAAAGAATATGGTTATGCCAGAATAAACTGTTCTGATATGTTAAATTTCAGCGTTGGCAGACATTTGTTTTCTGGTTGCCATGATGGTACAGTATGTATGTGGGACACCACACAACCACCAGTGAAGGTTCTGGATGAGTCAGATCCTTTATTGAAACCGATCATGAAGTATAAAGCACACGGAGACTGTGTCAATGGAGTAAGGTTGGTATCTTGAGGCATTTTCATCTCACTTGGACACAATTTTCACTGTATATTTAGAATTTAGTATGAACATTTATAATTGTAAATCTGTGATAATTGCTAACATTTAATTTTGTAACAGAATATTTCTGGATAAATGACAATGCAAGGTTTTATTATTGCTGTGACACTCTGTACATTCTGTGACATATTTCTCATTAATAACAGCAGCATTTATTATAAAAGTTAGGAGATGAGGTATGATTGCCAATGAGACAACTATCCACCAAAGTTGGAAAAAGTGAATGTAAGCAATTATAGGCAACCGTAAGGCCTTCAACAATGAGAAAAACCCATACCGTTTTATGTCTGAATTGACAGTATCATGTTTATATTGAAATGATATAAAATTGAGAATGGAAATGGGGAATGTGTCAAAGAGACAACAACCCGACCAAAGAGCTGAAAACAGCCCATGGCCACTAATGGGTCTTCAACACAGCCAGAAAATCATGCACCCGGAGGTGGGCTTCAGCTGGCCCCAAAACAATAATATATACTAGTTCAGCAAAAAATGGACGTAGCACTAAACTCCGAAACATATAAATGAACCAAAATTTAAAAAACAAACAAGACTAACAAAGGCCAGAGGTTCCTGACTTGGGACAGATGCAAAAATGTGGCGATATATATATACATGTTTTGCTAGCTTGTTGATTTCTGTATTTTATAACAGCATGTTGTGCAAAACTTTAACCTATTTTGAATTTGTATGATGGTTAATGTTTGGTTTTCCCTTTTGTGTTCTTTTATCATTTATATCCGTCAGTATCTTGGTTTTGATCCAATCATTTCAAATTCTGCCAATAGCTTTGAAATTAATTTCACAAAATATGGAATGCAACTCAGCCTATATCCTTTTTGTTAAACAAGATAATGGACTTTGTCCTTCATTACAATAAGGTTGCAGTCCAATGACAAAAAAAGAGTGAACAGAACATACTTATTTACTTTAGCACTTGAATTTTGAGCACTACAAGTTTGTAGCTAAGTATGAAAACTCTATATTAAAAACCTACTGGTACAATCAGGGGTATTTATAATTCTGCATTGGTCATTAGAAATCAGCAATATATTATTGGTCATTAGAAATCAGCAATATATTATAGTAAATTGTTCTTGATAATCTATTTCATATAAGATATAGGTTTTTCTTTATTTACTAGTTTGCAAATAATGTATTTTCAGTTTGAACCCATACGAGAATGTGTTGGCTACCTGTTCTGGACAGAGACATTATCCTGACCTTGGAGACAGTGATGATTCTGATAATGATAGTATAGAATCGGATGTTATAGACAATAGTGTTAAACTTTGGAAGTTTAAGTCATAATACATCTTTATCTCTTTTGTTATAGTTTTATTTTATTTCTATGAAATAATAATTTCTAATGAAAATGATCAATTAAATATTATGCATTGAAACAAGCAAAAAACATAAATAATGGATGGCTAATAAAAAAAACTATGTAATTAAGTATAACAATGATTATTTACATTTGATTACCCTGTACTCAGAGAATTTCATGAATTTTAAGTCATTTTTTCCATATTGTTGAATATGCTTTGAAAAATTGCACCATTTACATTTAAGCATTTAAATAGTATCAAAGAAGATGTAAAAATCTCTATACACATATTATTATAGAATGAAACTAATCCCTATTCTGTCAACAATTCTACACTCGAAAGCAAAATGATCATTTAAAATACCACTGTCTTTTATATAGTTAACATGTCATTTGCTGATCTGTTACAAGTACTACACTTGGACACAGTTATCACTTAGAATAATATCCTGCTTCTCTCCGGTGGACCCTGTTGATTTAGTACAAGTACAAGGACCACACTTGTCTCCTGTAAATGTTGGAGAAAAAGGAATATATCTGGCCCAGCTCCAAGATTTTATTTTTGACATACCAAAAGGAAGGTCATATGTTCGTAAGGAAAAGTTTTCTTTGTCATCTAAATGTTCTTTGGTCAATTCTCGCCATGATAAGATACCTCTCTCTTGATCTGTTCCTGAAAGTGGAGAAAACAATTAACATAATAACATCTGAAGTAACTTTAAAGATAAAAATATCCAGACATACCATCACATAACATCAGTGTGGCAATTTACTATCTTTAACTCTAACACTCCATCATGCAGTAAGTTTTGTCATTTGAATGTTTTCACATTTGTCATGTTGACGCTTTTATAGCCAACTATATAGTATGGGTTTTTCTCATTGTTGAAGGCTGTACAGTGGCCTATAATTGCTTACTACCACTTCATTTTAACTCTGGTGGATAGTTGTCTCATTGGCAATCATACCACATCTCCTTATTTTCATAATAAAACATTCTATTGGGATTATGCACACATGGTTTACAGAAGTTTCACAACAGGTTAACTTTTATTATGTTGACCAAGTGTAAACAAAAACTAAGAATTGCTTGTGTCTCATCTTTAATCTAGCAACTCAATAGTTGTTAGGACAAGATATTACAATGATAAATAACTCTACTGAACAAGAAAAACAGGTATTGTCACTATAGCATCTGTCCTGAGACAATTTTCTGCTGCAATTGAGGTGACCTTGATATTATAAGTATGAGCAGGTTTGAGAAGAAGAGTACAAGTTATACCTGGAATAACATTGTCTAGAAGCAGTGCAGTAAAACATGCCATGAACATACTATTTCCCAGTAATGCCAGCAATACCTGTTTACCATTTCCATCACCTGTAAACAAACCAAATAAATTCAAGTCTGTATAAAATATTTTATTGACTACATATTTTCTGCACTGTTCATGATGTTGCTGTGAGGGTCCTCCCAAATAAATACAAAGGATGACATTACAATTGTATGACACTAACAGCATGATTTAATATTTGTTTGTGTGGGCAATGCATTTTTCTACAAAGGGCACTGATTTTGTGTAATCATCTTTATCTGTACTCAGTTCCTTGGAAGTTTACATATTTTGCTAAGGAAATGACCAACCTCCGCAATCTTTGAAGAAAAGAGGAAATTCTGAGACCATTGTTTAATGTGAGTCACAGACTTCCTATTGAGTATAAAATCTTGTCAGTTGAACTTGGATACATATTATCCTTAAAATCTTTATTTTACTTCAAAGGGAGTCCTTTCATGCACATATTCCCTTGCAGACCCTGTAATTTGTGGTAACACTTGAATAACTTGAGGTGATATGATACTTTATATCCATTTCCATGTTAAAAGGTTGCTTTCTTTAAAGAAAACTAATGGACCAAGATGTCCTATTACTCATAGTCAAGTAGAAATCATCATTTTGTTATTTTTAAAACAGCTAAGAGTATGCAGTTTCTTTGTGTTTTATATAAATATACCTTGTTTAAAGATGACTTCATTTTGTTGTGTCCATATTGGCAAAGCAAACCCCATGAACAGAGATATACCAAACACAACCATGTTTCTTGTAGAGTTCAGGTCAACATATTGTAGATTAGAGGCTCCGACAGCTGCCAGCACTCCTTGAATTAATTTTAAAAATAGATGGTGAACAGGAAAAAATAGGTAGACTAATTTAAATACAATACTAAAGCTCAGCATTTAAGAAAGGCCCTTGTTTTTGAATGGGATTATGATTAAATTCCGTCCCCTAATGTATTTACATGTAAGAATATGAACCCACAAACTTACCAGCTTTATTTTTTATTAAAAAATTAAATATATATATCTGGTCATATTTGTGGAAAATATCTCCAAATTTTTATCATTAGAGTAATTTGCTCAGGAATCAATCAAACCAAAGAAACAGATTTTAATGTTTCACCACCAAGCACTTGTGTTCCTTGGCCTGATGACATCAAGAAACAGATTTGAAAGTTTCACCACCTAGCACTTGTGTTCCTTGGCCTGATGACACCCAGAAACAGATTTTAATGTTTCACCACCTAGCACTTGTGTTCCTTGGCCTGATGACATCCAGAAACAGATTTTAATGTTTCACCACCAAGCACTTGTGTTCCTAGGCCTGATGACATCCAGAAACAGATTTTAATGTTTCACCACCAAGCACTTGTGTTCCTAGGCCTGATGACATCCAGAAACAGATTTTAATGTTTCACCACCAAGCACTTGTGTTCCTAGGCCTGATGACATCCAGAAACAGATTTTAATGTTTCACCACCAAGCACTTGTGTTCCTAGGCCTGATGACATCCAGAAACAGATTTTAATGTTTCACCACCAAGCACTTGTGTTCCTAGGCCTGATGACATCCAGAAACAGATTTTAATGTTTCACCACCAAGCACTTGTGTTCCTAGGCCTGATGACATCCAGAAACAGATTTTAATGTTTCACCACCTGGCACTTGTGTTCCTAGGCCTGATGACACCCAGAAACAGATTTTAATGTTTCACCACCAAGCACTTGTGTTCCTAAGCCTGATGACATCCAGAAACAGATTTTAATGTTTCACCACCTGGCACTTGTGTTCCTAGGCCTGATGACATCCAGAAACAGATTTTAATGTTTCACCACCAAGCACATGTGTTCCTAGGCCTGATGACACCCAGAAACAGATTTTAATGTTTCACCACCAAGCACTTGTGTTCCTAGGCCTGATGACACCCAGAAACAGATTTTAATGTTTCACCACCTGGCACTTGTGTTCCTAGGACTGATGACATCCAGAAACAGATTTTAATGTTTCACCACCAAGCACTTGTGTTCCTAGGCCTGATGACATCCAGAAACAGATTTTAATGTTTCACCACCTGGCACTTGTGTTCTTAAGCTTGATGACATCCAGAAACAGATTTGAATGTTTCGTCAACTGGCTCTTGTGTTCCTAGGCCTGATGACATCCAGAAACAGATTTTAATGTTTCACCAACTGGCACTTGTGTTCCTAGGCCTGATGACATCCAGAAACAGATTTGAAAGTTTCACCAACTGGCACTTGTGTTCCTAGGCCTGATGACATCCAGAAACAGATTTTAATGTTTCACCACCAAGCACTTGTGTTCCTAGGCCTGATGACATCCAGAAACAGATTTTAATGTTTCACCACCAAGCACTTGTGTTCCTATGACTGATGACATCCAGAAAAGCACGTCGGACACACCAAATTTATAAAATATTATTGTTATTGTATAACAGCCATTTCTATGCACCTTGGACTAGTTGAAACGGTACTTATTTCTTCTGCTGTTTTATTATGCATTACAATACTATAAAGTTGTGTTTATACAATTAAGCTGCTTACATTACCAGTTTTTTACCTACCAAATAGTACAATGAATGAAGCACCAACTATTGGATCTGGTATGGTGACCATTAGGGTACTGAATTTGTTAAAACAGCCAAAGATCATCATTAGAATACCAGCTACCAATACAACCCTTCTACTACCAACCTGAATTAATTCAATTATAATATACATAATAAGACAGGCACTTTAAAATAAGATAGTGAAAGAAAATAATATAATGTATGTGTTCTGTGAGATCACAGAAACTATATAATTGTGACCAAAAAATATTGAAAAGAAATTCCATGGCCCAAAATTTGCATACCTGACAAGAAAAACAGGACAAACAGTTCCTGTTACAAGAGTGACAACTCTTTATTTCAAGTGGCAAGTTCAAATTCAGGGATCAGTCACAATTATTGTCATAATCAAAGAAAAGAGGACGTGATTGTGGCTACGACTAGTGGAACGCATTAATCTGTGATTATCTGTGACACAGCTTATCCATATGGGGACGACCTTTGATTTTCAGAAGGGATGAGGTAGAAAGATTTTTCGAGGACATTTACGCTCGTTTCTCGGCAGGGTTATTTATTTTGAGTGAAAATTAATTTTCGATTTTGTCGGTGACACAATTATATCCTGCATTTGGTTGGGCAAAATAACCATTTTCAACTTGTCTTGGGCAAGATTATTTATTTTCAGTTTTTCCCAGGCCAGCATATTCATTTCCCAAATATGTCTGCATCCCATCCCTTTTAAAAAAAGAAATGGCCGAACCCTTACGGTCAACCAAATCATCATCAGTGGATGCGTTCGAAAAACGTTTGAAGTGAGAACTTCAACTTTACCAATTAGACCCTTAATTTGATCGCTTCCTTTTAAACAGAAAATATCTATCAAGGAAACAATGATTATATTGATATGAAAGACAAGCCACAAAATATCGTATCAACTGTAAGGTAGATATATACCACATATACATATATACTGCTAGAATGTTGCCTTATAGAAATGAAGAGTCCATAATGAGTAAACTGAAGCCATCGCTTTTGTCTAACAATTTATTTCGAACCGACACTTACTGTCAATTTCCAAATGTTAGCATAAGAAATTATCTCATAAAAGCAATTCATAACAGAAAATTGATAAAAGCTTAAAAATCAACCGTAAGAACAAGTTTTGACTTTGTCACACGTATGGCCCCTGTTTACACATAGATTTTATCTTGGTAAGACATATTGCTCCATTATTTTTACTTGTTTCAATCTTAGACTATTAACCCACTATGACGTATTCTTGCCTTTGTCAAACTTATGGCTCCAATGTTCTGACTGCAAGAAGTTACACCAAACCCAGCACCTACAGCTGCAGCTACTATGCAGTCTATGCCCTCTATCAAGATACCTATAGAAATTAGACGATCAATCAATTACTAGTTATCTTTCACATTAAATGTTATAAATTGCTGACAATGATTTAATTGTTTTAGATATTCTGGGTTTTTATTCTCATTTTTTTCCTTTTTGTTTTCACCACATTATGTACCTGCATTTCATCATTTCTCTTTGAATCTTATTTTCTATTCATTTTTATTTTTATTTCACAAAATATCACCCTAAATCAGAGACATCCATTAGAAATAAACTGATATATTACTGATATAACTTAAGTTCTGATTGAATAAAAAGTTATGGCAATAGTACTTTCAAAACTCATGTTCATGCAACACGAATACGCAGTTCATCTTCATCTGATTTCTTACAATAGCCATTACCCGGTTTCTGAGTTTATAATCAGTGTACACGTACCTCTATTCACTGCAGAGGGTGGAGGAGGCACTGCACCAGCAATTCTTGCGCATGTGTAGTAATCTCCGATAGATTCGATTGTTGATGTGAATACACCACCAATAAATGCAATCAACAAACCAGAGTTAAATGTTGGCATCCCAAACTTTCCTGAATAACAGAAAAAAGTAAAGTCCCAAAAGTACTGAACTCCGAGGAAAATTCAAAACGGAAAGTCCCTAATCAAATGGCAAAATCAAATGATAAAACACATCAAACGAATGGACAACAACTGTCATATTCCTGACTTGGTACCGGCATTTTCAAATGTAGAAAATGGTGGATTGAACCTGGTTTTATAGCGCTAAACCTCTCACTTGTATGACAGTCGCAACAAATTCCATTATATTTACAACGATGCGTGAACAAAACAGACAAGAATTTAAGTGTTGCTTTGATCTGATCTGTGTACTGCAAATTTGATTCAGGATTCTCTATGAATCATGCAGTATTAAAGGACTTTTACAAGAATAGGTACTAGTAAATGATGTCCTAAATTCAAAATTAATGAATGAAGCTCTGCAGTTTTGTTTAGATGAATGAAATCATACCGGAAACATTTCAATTCTTTTTTCGTTTTTTTTTTTTTTTTTTGCTTTTACCACTGCTAGAGGGCTCTCATACCCCATAAGGCAGAAGACAGTGCTTTGGAACTGAATTGATTTATAATATATCTTGTTGATAAATTTATAAAATTATTAAGTAACCAAGGATTCCAACAACGTCAGGTATAGTTGAGCTTAGATGGATTTGACTATTCTTTTATGTCGTTTTCGGTCACATATAGCTCCTGACGTATTCGAGTGCTTACACGTCCATGGCTTTGTGTTTGATGAAGGTAAATCCAGAAAAACGCTTAGTAGGCACCACATTTTTAAGATTGTTATTTTCATTATCAACATACGCACTGATGAGGAGATAACCTGGATATGGAAAAGAGAACCATGGCGCTGTTTTCAGTTGGTTGTCGCTTACCTGGATATGGAAAAGAAAACCACGGAGCTGTTTTCAGTTGGTTGTCTCTTACGTCTGTACGTGCATGATATCCATATCTATCTTCACTGTCAGGAAATACGTCTGTGATTGTTAGTATGTAACACAATAACCACATAAAACTCACAGAAATTATCACCTGTAAACACAATGACAACACCAAACTTACAGGGATTATCACCTGTAACACAATAATCACATCAAACTTATAGAGATTATCACCTATAACAAAAAACCACCCCAAACTTACAGAGATTATTACATGTAACACAATAACCACATGAAAATTACAGAAATTATCATCTTTAACACAATAACCACATCAAACTCACAGACATTATCACCTGAAACATCAAACTCACAGAAATTATCATCTTTAACACAATAACCACATCAAACTCACAGAAATTATCACCTGTTACTCGATAACCACATCAAACTCACGGAAAGTATCACCTGTAACCCAATAACCACATCAAACTCAGAAATTATCACCTGTAACACAATAACCACATCAAACTTATAGAGATTATCACCTATAACACAATAACCACCCCAAACTTACAGAGATTATTACATGTAACACAATAACCACATGAAAATTACAGAAATTATCATCTTTAACACAATAACCACATCAACTCACAGAGATTACCACCTGTAATACAATAACCACATCAAACTTACAGAAATTATCATCTTTAACACAATAACCACATCAAACTCACAGAAATTATCACCTGTTACACGATAACCACATCAAACTTACAGAAATTATCATCTTTAACACAATAACCACATCAAACTCACAGAAATTATCACCTGTTACACGATAACCACATCAAACTTATAGAGATTATCACCTATAACACAATAACCACCCCAAACTTACAGAGATTATCACCTATAACAAAAAACCACCCCAAACTTACAGAGATTATTACATGTAACACAATAACCACATGAAAATTACAGAAATTATCATCTTTAACACAATAACCACATCAAACTCACAGACATTATCACCTGTAACATCAAACTCACAGAAATTATCATCTTTAACACAATAACCACATCAAACTCACAGAAATTATCACCTGTTACTCGATAACCAAATCAAACTCACGGAAAGTATCACCTGTAACCCAATAACCACATCAAACTCAGAAATTATCACCTGTAACACAATAACCACATCAAACTTATAGAGATTATCACCTATAACACAATAACCACCCCAAACTTACAGAGATTATTACATGTAACACAATAACCACATGAAAATTACAGAAATTATCATCTTTAACACAATAACCACATCAACTCACAGAGATTACCACCTGTAATACAATAACCACATCAAACTTACAGAAATTATCATCTTTAACACAATAACCACATCAAACTCACAGAAATTATCACCTGTTACACGATAACCACATCAAACTTACAGAAATTATCATCTTTAACACAATAACCACATCAAACTCACAGAAATTATCACCTGTTACACGATAACCACATCAAACTTATAGAGATTATCACCTATAACACAATAACCACCCCAAACTTACAGAGATTATTACATGTAACACAATAACCACATGAAAATTACAGAAATTTTCATCTTTAACACAATAACCACATCAACTCACAGAGATTACCACCTGTAACACAATAACCACATCAAACTTGCAGAAATTATCATCTTTAACACAATAACCACATCAAACTCACAGAAATTATCACCTGTACCACAATAACCACATCAAACTCACAGAAATTATCATCCGTAACATCAAACTCGCAGAAATTATCACCTGTACCACAATAACCACATCAAACTCACAGAAATTATCATCCGTAACATCAAACTCACAGAAATTATCACCTGTAACACAATAACCACATCAAACTCACAGACACTATCACCTGTAACATCAAACTCACAGAAATTATCACCTGTAACACAATAACCACATCAAACTCACAGACATTATCACCTGTAACATCAAACTCACAGAGATTACCACCTGTAACACAATAACCACATCAAACTCACATACATTATCACCTGTAACATCAAACTCACAGAAATTATCACCTGTAACACAATAACCACATCAAACTCACAGAAATTATTACCTGTAATGAATATTACACTTACAAAAATGTAATCATCTTTGTAAATTACCACACAACAGGAAATCAGGAAATGTTATGTTGGTTACAGATATTTTTTTAATTCCTGTCAAATTAATAAGCTACTTTTGCGGAATACGCGGCAATTTTTGCTTTTTGCCATAAGCACTTTTCTATTGTTGAAGGTCGTATGTTGGCCTCTAAATGTTTTACGTGTTTGTGTCGTTGGGTTGTCTCATTAAAGTTTACCCCACATCTTCTTTATTCGTTATTAAAATCATTTTAATTCATTAATATCATTGCAGTTTTATTTCAAATACATCATATTATCTTGTTTACTAATTTAGTTTCAATAGAAGATGTAACAATGTCTTTAACTTACCGAGAACATCTTATGGGCAACTATCTCTGTCTTTTTGTGCTTTTCTTTCTTGGTACATGTGTCTTGCTTCGCCGTAAGTATAAACTGACACGGTAAAGAGACTTTGAACTTAGGTATACACTCTGACAGCATCACAATCATAGCCATGGTTCTAAAATTCATGTATCTTGTAAAACATTGTTGGTTAAGTTTTTTTTTATCATCATGCTGATGCAAATATTAACAACAAGTCATGCAAAAGAGAGGCGGAAGATACCAAAGGAATATTCATCAGTCGAAGCGTACTGACGACGCCATGGCAAAAAATACGCAAAACGACCAAAAGACAAAAATACAAAAACACAACATCGAAAACTAAAGACTAGGCAATACGAACCCCACCCTAAACTGGTGGTGAATCAGGTGCTCCGGAAGGGTAGACAGATCCTGCTCCAACGGTGGCACCCATCATGTAATTTAGTCGATTATATTTTCTGCTTTCCAAACTTTTGACCAAGAGCGAACTTGATGTAGGTAATAATGGAATTTATGCACGTGACCGAGAGCGAACATGATGAATGTAATTATGAAAACTCGTGCTGTGCTCACGTGACCGAGAGCGATCCCTGATGAAGGTAATTATGGAAACACGCACGTGACCACGGGCGAACCTGATGAAGGTAATAATGGAATGTCCGCACGTGACCGAGAGCTAACCTTATGAAGGTAATTATGGAAACACGCACTGTGCGCACGTGAACGAGAGCGAACTTGATGAAGGTAATTATGGAAACGCGCTGTGCGCACGTGATCGAGATCGAACCTGATGAAAATGATAATGGAATGTGAGCACATGACTGAGAGCGAACCTTATGAATGTAATTATGGAAACACGCGCTGCGCGCACGTAACCGAGAGCGAACTTGATGAAGGTAATTATGGAAACACGCGCTGTGCGCATGGAAATCATATCAAACTTTTTTCTTTTCTTTTCTTTTTGCTTTTTTAAATGTTCATAATATTTAAAAAAAAAAAAAAACAAACAAACAAAAAAACAAACATGACCATAATGATAGCAAACAAACAAACATGATCATAATGATAGCAATAACTCAACTGTAATACATTTTATATTATTTATTGGCGGTTTGTGTGTGTCTGAATTTTTTTAATACAATTAAAAGAAAGACAGTTACCCAAATGCAATACCCCAGTGACTTCCAGCCAGTTCATACCCTGGTTGTAACACACCAAGCCCCATCATCATGATAGTTGGTGCGACTGTTAGGGGTCCAATAAATCTGAGTAAAACCGTTAAGATACCACTGGCTCCCAATACTATCTCAAATACTGAAGCTACCATTAGAGAACCAGTTATCTTGAAAATATAGTTCAGATTTTGTTTTTCATTAATTCTTTTCTTGTTATTATTTCAATTATTCAAAAAATAAGCCGAGCTCTAAAACGAAACTAACAAACGATTCGTCAGTTTCCAGAAAAAATAAAATGCTAACTTTTGCATTATGTTATCGGTATCAATAAGACAGCAACCAAACGACGAAGTCAGTTTGAGAAAGAGAAGTCAATAACTTAATAATCATAATTATTTTGAAGTGGTACCTGTACATTGAAATATATACTTGCTCCTATGTTTTCGTTTGTTCTAGTGAAGCGTTCGATAGATGACTCATTCTCTTAAGCTTTTGATTCATCTATTTTATAATAAGACTAAATTGTATGTCCCCATTTATAGTTTTATACTGAGTTTTCTAACATTTACTTGATTTTGTCCTGAAGTTTGCATTTGAATACAAGGAGATTAAGGGTATATGTCAATGAGACAGCAACCAAACCACACAATAACAAAAATGATATCATCAAGTACAACATACAGTCCCCCAAAAAAAGCATGTTTGTCGATTTACAATTGTTTCTGACGGATTTTACATGACAGTTTTTTCCATCAGTGTTAGAATTACAGTTTGCACTATCGTTCAATAGAAACATATTCAGATATGTCTTTTCTTACAAAAGGAAAATATTATAAATAAAGAAGATTGACTTTTCAGCAATGATACAACTTTACATTTGAAACTAGAGGGAAAGACTATGTTTATCGCTTAGATTTTTGAGAGACGTCCAACTGCTATGTATCTTTATAAAGTTATAGCATTAGAACCTTACCATGTTAAGTTATAGCATTAGAACCTTACCATGTTAAGACGTTGTTTATAAAGTGTTAAGTTACAGCATTAGAACCTTACCATGTTAAGACGTTGTTTATAAAGTGTTAAGTTATAGCATTAGAACCTTACCATGTTAAGACGTTGTTTATAAAGTGTTGAGTTATAGCATTAGAACCTTACCATGTTAAGACGTTGTTTATAAAGTGTTGAGTTATAGCATTAGAACCTTACCATGTTAAGACGTTGTTTATAAAGTGTTAAGTTATAGCATTAGAACCTTACCATGTTAAGACGTTGTTTATAAAGTGTCAGCATTAGAACCTTACCATGTTAAGACGTTGTTTATAAAGTGTTAAGTTACAGCATTAGAACCTTACCATGTTAAGACGTTGTTTATAAAGTGTTAAGTTATAGCATTAGAACCCCTTACCATGTTAAGACGTTGTTTATAAAGTGTTGAGTTACAGCATTAGAACCTTACCATGTTAAGACGTTGTTTATAAAGTGTTGAGTTATAGCATTAGAACCTTACCATGTTAAGACGTTGTTTATAAAGTGTTAAGTTACAGCATTAGAACCTTACCATGTTAAGACGTTGTTTATAAAGTGTTAAGTTATAGCATTAGAACCTTACCATGTTAAGACGTTGTTTATAAAGTGTTGAGTTATAGCATTAGAACCTTACCATGTTAAGACGTTGTTTATAAAGTGTTGAGTTATAGCATTAGAACCTTACCATGTTAAGACGTTGTTTATAAAGTGTTAAGTTACAGCATTAGAACCTTACCATGTTAAGACGTTGTTTATAAAGTGTTAAGTTATAGCATTAGAACCTTACCATGTTAAGACGTTGTTTATAAAGTGTTGAGTTACAGCATTAGAACCTTACCATGTTAAGACGTTGTTTATAAAGTGTTGAGTTACAGCATTAAAACCTTACCATGTTAAGACGTTGTTTATAAAGTGTTAAGTTATAGCATTAGAACCTTACCATGTTAAGACGTTGTTTATAAAGTGTTGAGTTACAGCATTAGAACCTTACCATGTTAAGACGTTGTTTATAAAGTGTTAAGTTACAGCATTAAAACCTTACCATGTTAAGACGTTGTTTATAAAGTGTTGAGTTACAGCATTAGAACCTTACCATGTTAAGACGTTGTTTATAAAGTGTTAAGTTACAGCATTAGAACCTTACCATGTTAAGACGTTGTTTATAAAGTGTTAAGTTATAGCATTAGAACCTTACCATGTTAAGACGTTGTTTATAAAGTGTTGAGTTATAGCATTAGAACCTTACCATGTTAAGACGTTGTTTATAAAGTGTTGAGTTATAGCATTAGAACCTTACCATGTTAAGACGTTGTTTATAAAGTGTTAAGTTATAGCATTAGAACCTTACCATGTTAAGACGTTGTTTATAAAGTGTCAGCATTAGAACCTTACCATGTTAAGACGTTGTTTATAAAGTGTTAAGTTACAGCATTAGAACCTTACCATGTTAAGACGTTGTTTATAAAGTGTTAAGTTATAGCATTAGAACCCCTTACCATGTTAAGACGTTGTTTATAAAGTGTTGAGTTACAGCATTAGAACCTTACCATGTTAAGACGTTGTTTATAAAGTGTTGAGTTATAGCATTAGAACCTTACCATGTTAAGACGTTGTTTATAAAGTGTTAAGTTACAGCATTAGAACCTTACCATGTTAAGACGTTGTTTATAAAGTGTTAAGTTATAGCATTAGAACCTTACCATGTTAAGACGTTGTTTATAAAGTGTTGAGTTATAGCATTAGAACCTTACCATGTTAAGACGTTGTTTATAAAGTGTTGAGTTATAGCATTAGAACCTTACCATGTTAAGACGTTGTTTATAAAGTGTTAAGTTACAGCATTAGAACCTTACCATGTTAAGACGTTGTTTATAAAGTGTTAAGTTATAGCATTAGAACCTTACCATGTTAAGACGTTGTTTATAAAGTGTTGAGTTACAGCATTAGAACCTTACCATGTTAAGACGTTGTTTATAAAGTGTTGAGTTACAGCATTAAAACCTTACCATGTTAAGACGTTGTTTATAAAGTGTTAAGTTATAGCATTAGAACCTTACCATGTTAAGACGTTGTTTATAAAGTGTTGAGTTACAGCATTAGAACCTTACCATGTTAAGACGTTGTTTATAAAGTGTTAAGTTACAGCATTAAAACCTTACCATGTTAAGACGTTGTTTATAAAGTGTTGAGTTATAGCATTTGAACCTTACCATGTTAAGACGTTGTTTATAAAGTGTCAGCATTAGAACCTTACCATGTTAAGACGTTGTTTATAAAGTGTTGAGTTATAGCATTAGAACCTTACCATGTTAAGACGTTGTTTATAAAGTGTTGAGTTATAGCATTAGAACCTTACCATGTTAAGACGTTGTTTATAAAGTGTTGAGTTATAGCATTAGAACCTTACCATGTTAAGACGTTGTTTATAAAGTGTTAAGTTATAGCATTAGAACCTTACCATGTTAAGACGTTGTTTATAAAGTGTTGAGTTATAGCATTAGAACATTACCATGTTAAGACGTTGTTTATAAAGTGTTGAGTTATAGCATTTGAACCTTACCATGTTAAGACGTTGTTTATAAAGTGTCAGCATTAGAACCTTACCATGTTAAGACGTTGTTTATAAAGTGTTGAGTTATAGCATTTGAACCTTACCATGTTAAGACGTTGTTTATAAAGTGTCAGCATTAGAACCTTACCATGTTAAGACGTTGTTTATAAAGTGTTGAGTTACAGCATTAGAACATTACCATGTTAAGACGTTGTTTATAAAGTGTTGAGTTATAGCATTAGAACCTTACCATGTTAAGACGTTGTTTATAAAGTGTCAGCATTAGAACCTTACCATGTTAAGACGTTGTTTATAAAGTGTTGAGTTACAGCATTTGAACATTACCATGTTAAGACGTTGTTTATAAAGTGTTGAGTTACAGCATTAGAACCTTACCATGTTAAGACGTTGTTTATAAAGTGTTGAGTTACAGCATTAGAACCTTACCATGTTAAGACGTTGTTTATAAAGTGTTAAGTTATAGCATTAGAACCTTACCATGTTAAGACGTTGTTTATAAAGTGTTAAGTTATAGCATTAGAACCTTACCATGTTAAGACGTTGTTTATAAAGTGTTGAGTTATAGCATTAGAACCTTACCATGTTAAGACGTTGTTTATAAAGTGTTGAGTTACAGCATTAGAACCTTACCATGTTAAGACGTTGTTTATAAAGTGTTAAGTTACAGCATTAGAACCTTACCATGTTAAGACGTTGTTTATAAAGTGTTGAGTTATAGCATTTGAACCTTACCATGTTAAGACGTTGTTTATAAAGTGTTGAGTTATAGCATTAGAACCTTACCATGTTAAGACGTTGTTTATAAAGTGTTAAGTTATAGCATTAGAACCTTACCATGTTAAGACGTTGTTTATAAAGTGTTGAGTTACAGCATTAGAACCTTACCATGTTAAGACGTTGTTTATAAAGTGTTAAGTTATAGCATTAGAACCTTACCATGTTAAGACGTTGTTTATAAAGTGTTGAGTTACAGCATTAGAACCTTACCATGATAAGACGTTGTTTATAAAGTGTTGAGTTACAGCATTAAAACCTTACCATGTTAAGACGTTGTTTATAAAGTGTTGAGTTATAGCATTAGAACCTTACCATGTTAAGACGTTGTTTATAAAGTGTTGAGTTATAGCATTAGAACCTTACCATGTTAAGACGTTGTTTATAAAGTGTTAAGTTACAGCATTAGAACCTTACCATGTTAAGACGTTGTTTATAAAGTGTTGAGTTATAGCATTTGAACCTTACCATGTTAAGACGTTGTTTATAAAGTGTTGAGTTATAGCATTAGAACCTTACCATGTTAAGACGTTGTTTATAAAGTGTTAAGTTATAGCATTAGAACCTTACCATGTTAAGACGTTGTTTATAAAGTGTTGAGTTACAGCATTAGAACCTTACCATGTTAAGACGTTGTTTATAAAGTGTTGAGTTATAGCATTAGAACCTTACCATGTTAAGACGTTGTTTATAAAGTGTTGAGTTACAGCATTAGAACCTTACCATGTTAAGACGTTGTTTATAAAGTGTTAAGTTATAGCATTAGAACCTTACCATGTTAAGACGTTGTTTATA